TCCGCCCCCACCTCCCCCTCCGCCGCTACCACTTAATCCTCCAGCTATAATGCTGTTATTCGACAAGGACGTATTCCGGCCCTCCCAAGTCTTGATAAGAGTCCTCATAGTTACAGGAATGCTCAGGCACCTTTGCAATACTTTCCCAATCATTTCCGAGGTTTGCTCCGTATTAGTCAAACAAACGCCGTATAGTTTACATTTCAGCATTGAAATATCCGTGAGATCAAGTTCCGCCGTGGCCATGGACTCCTCAAAAGGATGCTCTAGACTGACAGCAATATGTTGCCAAGAGAGCGCACTGACTTCGAACATGGTCGTGTGTTCAAGATCCTGTCGAGCCATTGGTCTCACGCAGCTTGCCAAAAGTGAGTTAAATAGAGCCTGTTGTCTCAAGTATACGAGAATCTGCGGTACGTGAGCAGGATGTGTAAAAGGAATGCTGCTTACAAGAACACCCTCCATATTCTTATTCCCTGTCATGAAGTAGCAGTGTTGTTGATCCGGTAGAGTCTGCAGAGATACGAATAACGGTTTTTTTTTATTCATACCTAATTTAGCTAAACTATTTTAATTTTGTATGTCTTTATTGGTTAAATACTCACCACATATAGCCCTCTGTTATTGTGGCAATCGAGTTGTCCGTCGCTAGCATGCTGTACTATTAGGCTTAATAAAGGTTGCGGTGTAGAAACGTCACCGCACTCTAATTCTGTGACCTTCTGGATTCGCCGCACTAGCTCCAAGCACATGGGCATCTTCTTCGCCAGTTTGAGAACGAAGCAAGCAGGTAGCATCGAGGAATTTGAGCTTGTCAGTGGAGCATATGAAGGCGTGCTGTCGAGAATACACGCTGCGTGTCTACATAATCATGAAGAAAAATCAAGAAGGACAAGAAGCATGTCCGACGAACCTTTTTCCCGTAGGACTCCGATTAACAGCAATGATGCTTGTCGTCGGTAGCTTGTGAGAGGTGGAGCCCTCCATACAGACAGTCACGGAATGGCCAACCTTACGAGTGATCACGGCATCCGCAGTTAGCATCATGCTACTACGATTCTCACGATCTATCAAGTCATACGGTGATACGAAGTAAGTTAATCGCATTGCGTGGCCGCCTCTTCGTCGCTCTAGAATTCCTATTTAATAGTATTTATTTTAGGTATTTCGATACTTTGTGAACTTAATATATCCCACCCTTTATCCCCGATACATTCTCACCACTAACCAACTGGACTTTTGTGTACAAGGTTGAAAGGCTCCTTTATGAATGTTTGTAGTTGAGCAAGAACACCCAAATCTGTCTCGAGTGATTGTAAAGCACTAAATGCCTTGCACTTCACCTTCTTGTCTGCATTCAACTGGTATATTGATGTAAAACCTTCCAGTTGTGTTGTAAAATCCACAAAATCACCATGTGATAGACAGGCAACCAGCTCCTCGCAACTCTATCAATAATCACGAAGTTACTAATAGATCAAACTATTCTAATATATATTTGAAAACAAACTTTACGACTTTACCTGTGGTTCATTTTTGCCTTCGTGATGAATCTTAACGTCATTCACTGCACCACTGGGTTCCAAAATCACTTCTAAGAAGAACATATCAGAGGATATGAAAACTTCTGTACCAGGTGGCCCAGGAATCATAAATTTTAATCTAAAATAAGAGAAAAATCAATTTTGACCTTTGACATAAAAATATATACCTTCAAGAAAGGTAAATATAGTATACAATACCCCAATTGCCTGGTAAGACTCTCCAAACGTTCTACCATTGATTGTAAAGAAGTAACTTTTATAGAGTGCTGCAAAGTATCCAAACATTTCTGAAGTTGATTCTTTTCCACACTGTCAACAGCAAAACGTTTGTCCTGTACAACATAAAAATGTGTAACACAATATCAATTTACTATTATACACCTCCTACAGACACAAGTACTAACCAACATAGCCATTCGCAAGTTTCTTGCTGTTTCTACAAAAGACTTGAAAGTAGAAGCTTTGGAACGTAGTTTTTCCATAAGCAGTTCCATTTGCCATTCTTTACCCTTATCCATTCCTATTTCCATATTAATACCATTACTAGGCTGTTGTTGCGATTGCTGTTGTGGCACGATATTTTGTTGTTGTTGCTGTTGCGTTTGTTGTGGTTGCTGCTGTTGCTGTGGCTGTGGCTGCTGCTGCAGCTGCCCAGCTGATTGAAAAACATTCATTGCAGAATAGCCACGCATTGGAAGAGAAATCCGTAAGTCAGTAAAATACTTACCAACAGGTTTTGGCCCATTTGTTGAATCCATGTATCCCTTCACGGGTAACACGGATGTCATAATACCGCCAGCAGTTAGAGAACAAGGAAAATGCTACGGAATGACTTCCTTTCCTCTCCTTTCCTTTCCTTTATGGCTGACTCCCCCTATGGGGAGATGTGCCAGAGGAATGTCCGTGGGAATGTCTTAATGAAGTTTGAAGTTGGTTGGACACAGACAACAGCCAACTAGTGAGAAATCATATCCTTTAAAAATCCAATGGCATCAATGCGCCACGGTCTACCCTCTTGCGGCATTGTCCTAAATTAATCCGATGTCAAACCCGCGAAAATACATTTTACGATGAGGAACTATATTTCTATATTAAATGTGATGGCAGCATTTTTCATAACTAGGCTAACTTTCGTACTAGTAAGCTCGACCCAATATTGTCTTTAGCTTTGTCTTACCATCTTCACGCCTTTAGAGTTTTTGCACTTTGCAACCTTGCATTCGATGAGACGTTTCCCGGTTGCCTTAACACATGAATCCTATGTATTTGCATGAAAAGAATGGTTTTAGCAATTATCTCGGACACATAATTTGTGCAAAACGTGTAAAACCCGATTCAAGCAAAATAGAAGCTGTACAATTTTTAACGTTACCAAAAAGTCAAAAATGTAAAAGAATGTTTAGGACTTGCCGGATATTATTGAAAATTTATCAGACTTCGCGAAAATCAACAATCCGTTGTCCGATTTAGCCAGCAAAAACGCAGAATTAAAATGAAACACTAAGCAACAAAAAGCTTTCGAAGATCTTCCCGATAAATTAGCGACGCTCCAATTTTCCAGTATTCCGCTCCTTTACCAAATATATTAGAAATAACTTCCTTACTTTTATTTATGGCTATACTTAGAAATAACTTAAGCCTCGAGAAATTTGCAAGCCGTAGAACAAATATTAAATAAAAAAGCGCGGTCCAACGGGGATAACCATCGTAGCCGATGTACCAATGGACGTACACACCGAACCGAATGGGAACTGGTCGGAGAATTTTAGAATTACATGCAAACTCGTTGATGGAATTCCTACAAGGCTAGAGCACGATTCCCTCACAGAATACCGATTCAAATTCAGTACCAGTAATTAGACGACCAACTCGACCTTGTAAGTCTATAACAATAAGAATTCCACGTGTCGCTCGGATAATCAACAGCCTTTTCACGATAAGAAAGTAACGAAATCCGTTAAAAAATTCAATAAAAATTCAAAAACAACAAATCCTTCACCACCAGATGTTATAGTAATATTAACGCCAGGCGTTAAAGAATTAACTCAATCTCCGTAGTCTCTATAAACTTTTCAGTAAAAGAGATTTTATCGGACATCGATGAGAGAGTAAAGGCTGTAGAAGCAGTGATGTCCGCAGTGTTTAAATCCGCTGTGAACACACGAATGCTGTAAAGGCATGAATGCCCTACTCTTTCTAGAGAGATTGTGAACCCGGCAGCTGGAAAAGTTTTTGAAGATCGACCATACGACCATGTTATAAGTATTTCGAGCATGCTACAATTTTGTGGCAAGTTTCAGTAATGGGGCTCTGGAGCATTTGTTTTTCTGAGTAACACTTTTATCTTGCGAATAATTTTAATAAATATAAGTTCATTAGCTACTCAAATTGCTTTTAAAGAGTGTATAGTTGTATTTCCTTTATTAGATTTAGAGTTTTGGATATAATAGATCGAAATAAAGATACAGTTATAATAACCAATTTTACATGCAATAAGCTTCAAATGAATTCAATATAGACAAGCGATAATTTGCACTCTAATGAAGAGTCTGAAGGACCTTTACTCGTATCATTTATCATTATGAAGTCCTCCTACCTCATGCACGTAACACATACACTTAATGATAATGAACATCTATTGAGCTCGCACGTAAAACAGGGCGATATAACTTTTTTAATCCTTTTTTGTTAATCTTTATAGTTGAAGATACGATTTCTTTTCATAAGCGTCTTCAATAATACTAGTCCACAAATGAGTACAGGGTTGAAGTGGGGATGTGGATGAAAGGATTTTGTTCATTTTCGTTAATCTTCAAGAATCGTGAAGATTCATCGGTAATGGCCGTGCTCGATACATCGTTGGACGATGATAAAACCTTAATATTTCAACATTGAGATTACTCATATACAGCATATGACTTGAAGGAGGAATTTTAACATCTAGTCTCGTAAAGTCCACTCCTTCCAATATAACGAACCCATTTGATAACGTCATGATCAGAGTAATTCAGTTTCGATTCAAATACTTTAAGATATCGAACTTTAAATCCGGACGGAGCAAATGGGACCTCGAAGTTCATTGAGATTGGAGGTCGTGTCCATTTCTTTTTGGTATCCGTCTCGAGTAGATCGATTTCCGCTGATAATTGAGTCTCTTTCATTCCTGCCATTCGCTTGATCTTCCATACGATTGCGTTTTCTGATGCCTTGTACTTGGCTTTGCCTTTTAGGCAAATCAATTGGACGCCCGCTGTATTTAATGGCGTTGGAACGCGAACCTCGATTTTCTGTCCCAGCAAAGAAGGCTTGAAATTGGATTTTAAGACTGCCTTTACTTCCATTTTAGTACGTCCTACCTCACGTACTAAAGGAATCACTCGAAATGGTAGAGATATATCTTTCGTTGTGCGATACCTGTTGGTCATTTAATTATAAGATGATTATAAATTAATGATATTATACGTCGAATAATCAATATCTACTCGCCTCATCAATTCAAACTCGCCATCGGGCGGTATGAAACTAATGGAATGTTCTGTTTCGAATTTTGATAATTTCACGCATTGATGAAATTGACAATCGTCAATAACCACTACTGGTTTCCCTGATCTGGCACCAGTAGGGTCGTCACCACCACCTCCTAATCCACCACCTCCTTTCATTCCTTTCGCTTCCATTACGATTTTATCGTTAATGCCAAATTTGCACTCTGGCATACCAGATAAATAAGATTTCATGACTACCTGTTATATCATTAAAAAAAATGGTATTACAGTAATTTGTGATAATTTCTTCTTTACTCTTCAATGTATGTGAAATAGTAGCATACCTTTCCTGCCACATGAGCACTCAGAACTTGACCCTGTGGATTCATTAAGAGATTAACATATTCAAGGACATCAAGGAATAATTCATTGCGACGATATTTTATGCCTTCTCGACGCCAACCAATTTGGCCAGTCACTTGCGATGTTATTTGTGCTTGTTCTTCCTTTGTTGCAGATTTTACACCCTGCTGAGTAATGAATGTCTTTAACACTCCAGTATCGCAATTTTGTGGATACCCAAAATCTAGTATTTCTGTAGTTGATAAGAATGAAATATTTCATTATTCTTTATATTAATTATATCACTATGAATATTGTATTAAAGAATGTACGAACCATCGAGTAATTCATAGATAAGAACAAAATTGTTCTTAATATTTTCCTCTGATATTTTGCCAAAATATGACTGCATGACGTCAATGATCTTTAACAAAAACTCAAACACCATAGCAGCATTGACATTCTGCTTGGTTACAGCAGCAAGCCAAATATTTGCTCTCTTTATATGAAAGAATGATGTTCGAGCAATATTTGTCACAGGTGAACGGACTTGTTGACGAGCATGGATAACATTTACACGAAATGCATCAACTGCATTCCTTCCAATGTCATCTCGATACACTCGGGAGATAAGGACTTCTCCCTTATGGTTGTAGACAAAAAGACCCCCTATCATTTTGATACAGGGTATATTTTGTCTGCTGCTATTCTGTACCTATAACAATATCATTATGCATGATCATCTTGAAACACTATTAAACAAAACTGACAAGCAATGTATCTTCATGAGAGTAACGAAACCTAATTAAAGTTTATTAATAAATGTACATAGACTTCATTGAAGTGAGTTCAACAATTTGGTCACTGAGCAGTACATATTGTTGTGTACAGGACATGAAAATTTGTAGAAACTAAAAAGATATCAGAAAAATATAATGATGTAAAATTAATAACGCCCCCTTTCATAAATTACATATCCGTTTCTCTGATGTCTTACAAACGGTTAGTAGTATCGATCGTGGGGTCGTCAAAGTTTAAGTCGAAATTCAAAAAACTTTGATTAATCTTACTCGAAAATGGGTCAACAAATATTTCCCGACAAGTAATACTGATTCCTTAAATAAGTCAAGGGTACTTACGCATCTCCGTGTATCGGATAAAAAAAACCTTTATGAAATCGAATCGACGTCCAACCCCACGTAGTAACTACAGCCAGTATTTAACGAACAGTGACGAACAGTTCCGAATGCCAAAGTGCCAAATGACGTATACGACACCCACTTTACTACTACGTATATCGACAAACATCTATTATAAAAAATTTCAATATCAAATCAACATAGTAAACGTAGAATTCATATAATAAATTAATTTTTTAATCATAGTTTTATACTGTATTATTAAATATTTTTAAATAACAGTAGGAACAAGTTTGTCGCAGATTATAAACCGGGATTTGAGATTCATTGAGGTTGAAACTCACTTTCAAAGATATTATATATATACAAGAGTACCAAATTATTATTTATTTATCATTCATTTGCATCGCATTTAATTAAATGCAAATGGCATAACGAAACAATCATAGACCGCTATACATGGAATGAATTATTGTTTCTTTTTAGCTAGATTGAACTTGCACATTTTTGACCATATATTATCATTTTCTTATAATATCAAAGAAACCATTGTTGAATAACTTGAACAAATTAATCAAAATTTGTGAAATTTGTATAAGAACGATAGTCGTCATTTCCGTAAAGGGAGCAACAGGAAATAATCCCGAGATTGGTAGGCGCAAGTGCAAAGTACACAATATATGTTTTTGCGTCAAAATAGTGTAATGAGGAATGACATTTATTTCTTTTTAAAGACAATATACTCTATACACTTAAATTTTAATTATCGTGTAATGATAGTGATGAAAATATAGAATTCATCAAAATATTCGTCACTACTTATAATGGCTAACAAGGAGATGAATAATAATAATATCCCTTTACGGGAGAATCTTGTGAGTATCTTACAATATATTCCTAGGTTATCTTCCTTGTAATGAGAATCGGTATATTAATTGTATAACTGCAGTATTCCATAAATCATATAAATAAAATAATATTAATTACTTCGTAATGTTATAATTATACTGGTTTACTCTTGCAGATCAACACTGCAGTCAAATTTCTGCAAAATCCGAAAATATCTGGAAGTCCTTCTGAACAAAAACAGGAATTTCTTATTAGAAAAGGTCTGACAAATGATGAAGTAAAGAGAGCCTTTGAGCTAGCTTCCATAGAGAAAGTTGAGACTAGTTTTATAAAAAATCAAAATGAATTTACTGCCATTGCAATACCTCCTCAGCCCCAGATTCATCCATATTATCAAGTTCAAACTCTTCAGCCTACACTATTTTACAAGATCAAAGAATTTTTTAATGCCACAGCTTTGATTGGTGCTACTGTATATTGTGTTTATTGGCTATATAAGGTATATTGTCTGATCTTGGTGGAACACTATAAACAATCTAGAATATCAAAATAACAAGATAATATTATTTTGATTTGATCTGCATTGTAGAAATTTATTGCACCATTCTTGTTTGGTTTTAAAAAACCCAAGACTGTAGAGGACTCTGTCACAAAATTGGATGAAACTATACAGAATTCAATGAAGGAAGTGAAAGACTCCATTTTAAAAGTAGATGGAGATGTTAATAGGTTGACACAAAGACATTCTATGGAGCCAACTATTCCACATTTGGTTCAAGAATTAAAACAAGACTTAGCTAGTCTGAAGGCATTACTTCTTTCGAGGTTTGTATCCAAACAATTGGTCCCAAATAAAATAATATTAAGGTTGCTGTTCAAAACTATTTGCGTGTTGCATTTGATTTTTCAGAAAACAATTTCCAAATGCTCCAGCTTCCATACCAAGTTGGCAATTGCAGCCGTCCAGTTCTAACCCAAACAAGTCAAACGACAGTGAAGATGACACCGGTAGTGGCAGTAGCACAAATAATTCTGATAGCTCCTTAGAAATGATCCGAGAAGATCCTTCCAAAGAATAAATTTGAAAGCATAAGAGACTACCAAAAACTTTAACGTTCCATTATCCGCCATCAATTTGGCTCCCATTTTAATTTTGTTTTTCTATTATTAAAATGGCTTTTAATGATATCAAAAAAAATTTTGAAACATGGACTCAAGAAGTGGTTCATAAAACGAGTAAAAATATTTAAGTCACTGGATGAGATATTATTCGAAGGGTTAATGTTAGCTGCATTTTTGTTTATATAATATTTACAATTTGTAAGAGGGATAAAAAAAAGTTCATTAATGGCAGTGATGTTAAAAAAAACCGCGGTATTTATTTAACATTGTTTATTTGAGAACAAACTGCGGATATTCCAATTCTGCGCACACTTCTTTTTTTAAATATATATATATGTGTGTGTATGTATATATATATATTTTAATTCGATATCCAGTTATTTTATCATTATAACCAAGAATTTATTGATAATTAAACGTATATCAATGCGTGTATAATATGTACTTCCAGTTACGACGTATCGCGCAGTACATTCATGCAAGACCAGTCACTCCCTTAATATGGACAACACACACTCCTGTATTCTAATATGTACAAACTATATAATATTGTTACTTTTGTTGATTACTATTAGACAAGCGGGCAAAATACACAGCTATGTGCATAGTTTCCTTCCGTATGATATTCTGTTATACAGCTATTCTAAAATAAGAATTTCTACAGAAAATTCTACGTGCAATTGATTGCCAATGAATCGTTTCAATTTCCTTCCATTCTTTCTTTATTACTTTTATCTTAGTTTATTATACCGCAAAAGTTCAACAAAGACAAATTCTGTTGTTTAGTAATATTTATTAATACTCTTTGTTAAATTAGGTATAATTAGAATGGTTGCCTCACTGATACAGTGAGTTACAACCATGTCCGTTTCAAATGTGACTTAGTACACTTCCAGCAATCCTAGGTTACTTTGACAATACACCACTGTATGTTGACTCTTCTGCGTCTATTTCTGTATTTGAGATGGAAGTGGGAGTAGGAAGGTGGATATGACATTGCACTCATTCGCTCTCACGCTTTTCTTGACCAAAAAAGATTGATCTAACTAAAAAAAAAAAAAGAGAAATTTTTGCTAGTAGAGTTGCTATTTGAGTATCGAATAAAAAATATAAGTTTCACGATGAAATTGGGACGTACGTCGCATAATAATTGAATAGGTGCGCTAATAGAAAATCATAAAATTATATTTATAAATTTTTGTTTCACTGTTGCCATGTTTGCCTTCTCTTTTGAAATTATCTTTTTTCTTGTATACTTAAACCAGAAAAATGAACCTAGGATGCTTTTTGTGCTGACGTAGGTACTGGCTGACGGTCCCGTTCCCCGTTGCACACACTCGCAACTATCGTTCGACGAGTATAGAAAATTAGGACAGGGGTACAGGGTTCATCATCTGGCTCCCCGGGTAGCGTAGTTTTTAACCTCCCTATTATTAATAACAGTTATAATTCTAGGCTAAACACACTAAACTGTTAGCAGTTCGATCTCCAATCTATTCTAGTTGATCGATCGTTCAGGACTATGCTACAAAGTATGATGTAGGTGTAAATTTCGCGAAAGTACGGAGCGCACGTCCTGTGTGAAGCGGAGCGCGTCCAGGACTGGAAGTAGGCTGAGCAGCGCGGTGTCGCTAGCGTCGCTAAACCACGACTTTATCGGTATTGCATTGTCTGTAATTGAACAATTTAATTGGTTTGATGCTTTTACAGTTATAAAATTAAGAAAATAATAAATGTTTATTTGCTATATAAAGAATATACTAACGTGGATAAGCTCTGTAGGCTCCTGGACTGTTGTCGAGTATAAAGACTGATGCTAGATCTGAACAAATAGCAGCTAGGTCCTTGGTATAAGAACCCATCTCTGGCGTACAGTGTTGTCTGTAATACCTGCGTCTTAAGATTCCTCTGTTGTTGTCAAGTTTATCGGCAACAGCTGCTCCGTAAATTTCCATAGAAGCCGTAAAAACCACTAGCTCATACCTAGAAGAGCCGCAAAAGACCCGTGATAACATGTATTTACGATTTCGTTACTTGAAATAGTAATCCATTCAAGACGCTTACCACTGACTAACAATGTCTAAGAAAAAGTCCACATGAGGCCTCTTGTGGACGAAAAATCTAACCGGATGTCGGTCTATCGTCACCTTAAGAACAAAATCAGGTGGTGTTCCTGGTCTCACAGTTGGTCTTGCCACACCATCATGATGTGAGTGAATCAATGTCTCATCGAGGTCTAATACCAATACCTTTCGCTTAACTATACCTGTAATGCAATGACTTATATACCACAAATAACACGCCAATTATTTCCTTGCATTTATGCTGGAATAAAATACTTACTAAGCCGATGCCTTGACAAAGGAGACAGCGGGAAGATTTCATACTTAACAGGTTGCATCTGTGAAATCTAAAATAAAAACATGAGTGCAATATGTTAATTAATATCGTTATAGCTGTATCAAAAGGTTTTGAAGTACAAGAATTAATGTATATGGAAATGACACAAATTAATCACATACAATGTATCAATTTTAATATCAACTCAGCTTAAAACATTATCTACATGATGAATTATATCTAGATAGCAATGTTTTATATGTGTGCATTAAAAATTGACAAGGCAGATTATATAACATGTAACATTAAATATTATATAAGGCATAAAATATTTAATCATTTCACAATATACTTTAAATAAATTCCTTTATTGAAATCAAACTTTCATCTATATGGCTCTTAGCCATTCGGAGGATATCCTAGATAAGATATATTTTTAAACATATAAAACAATTATCTGATAATTCATAAGTATTAAATGATTAGCAATATTACAGGATTATATCTCGCTAACAGATGTTAGGAATAGCATACAGTTGCAAAGATTATCATTATACCTCAAAAATGAAAGTGATTCCGAGGTATGAGAGATAGTTAAAAATACTACATATTACATAAATGTGATGCAGGAACCAACACATAGTTAATAAAAACATGGATGAGTAATAAAAGAAAATTAATAAATGATAAAAAGGAGACAGACCAAGATAATATAAATGATACTTATGCTTGATAATAATCACACAATTAAGCACAGTAACACTTAAAAGAAAATGCTGAAAAATCATGACACAGCATGGAATAACATACATGTACTTAAGAGCAGAAAACTTGAACTTGAATGAAAATGTATTGAAATCCATTCCAATTTAGCATTTAATTAAAAATAGTACAAAAGTCTATGAAAAATGTAGCAGATGGATTTACTAGTCACTTTCTATCTGCATATTACTTTGAACAATAATTATAACAACAATTAAAAACACAATACATCAAGAAAGATGAATATAAGCATAGCAGGCGTCGATGCTAAATCGAAGGAATCATAAAAAACAAATTAAGCGATCCATTAAAACAAAAGTACCATGGATTTGTGTGTACGAGGATACGATTTTAAAGTCAAGGAAAGAAAATAATTGAAACGAAAAGGAAGAGGTGCGAAGCACCTACTTACGGCTCTAACCTGCTTCTTGAGTAGAAAGCAGACGCAGGTCCACACGCGGGAGGCCATCAAGAGAAAAGCTCTCATCCCCATTTGCAATTGCTTCAGCATCTCTACAAGTCTTCTGAGCGGGCCGAAGTCCGGCACCACTTTATCCTCAGTCTCGCCTTCGTCAGGGTTTCTTTTCCCTTTTTCACTGTGTTTCAAGTCCAAGGCGGTATATTACACAAGCGACAAACCACAAGTAAACAAACGACACCTCCGGACGCAGAGAACACGAAGCCTGAATACTCAGACACATAACACTATTCTTTTTTATTCTTCTAATCACATCATTCGCACCGCATTACCGGTTCTCTCTTGAAAATCTTTTCTGCTCTTGCAAAACCTCGACGGCTACGATATCTTCACGCACACCGTGCAACGGTCGCCATCTTTCGCACATCGACCCAATTTTTCTGTGCGCTGTTTCAACGCGCACGATCCTGTCAAAAATTATCTCTTACGTTCGCACATCCCTTCAAAAATTATTTTATTAATCATTACGTATAATTGTGACTGTGACAGCAATCTTCGTTCCTTTTGTTAATAGTAGAATAAGAATATACGTTAATAAAGTATAAACAGTGTCGAAAGGATCTTGATCGTAATACTCAAATTAGTGTTGGAAAGAGCGGCTTTTGACGGCATCGGAGAACGCAGGAGAAAATAAGGCCCGTTTTATCCAATTGGGTCTATTTAGAACCTATCGCCAACTATTGTGGACAAACTTGTTACTGACAGCGATAGGCTTCATCGTAGTCCATTAGCTTACCAATGAAATAATGCCGTTTAGCGTCCATAATAATGGCGGCATAAGAAGAGGCGTCCTTTCCTGGTAATTTTAGGAACATGTTATTGCGTGCTGATGGATTGCTGATCGCTGTACCAACGTGAAAAGTGTAGTATGGCGTTCGGTGGGAAAGCAGCTGCTTGCGTCATTTCAAAATACTTCATTGTCGTGATTGTCTAGCGTTTCTAGTGTACTGTCCGACTAGTTAAGTTCAGACAAGGAAGTCTTATTGCAGCAAGAACTCATAACGTGTCAGGAAAATGACCGACCTCACAGAATTGCGGATGAACGTGGCCGCTTTGAAACGCGTTGACCCCTACGTCAAGGATATTCTGGAGACTGCGACCCATGTAGCTCTTTATACATTCAACGCTGAGAACAACGAATGGGAAAAAACGGATGTTGAGGGTGCTCTGTTCGTCTATTCGCGAAATGGCGAACCTTATAACAGCGTTCTTATTATGAATAGGTATTCATCTTTGGGCTTGTTTGTTTGAAAACATGCGCTGCAGGTGTGCTCCTCTCAAAGGTGCATCACGATGCAGCTTCTATACTGTTTACCCTACAGTACAATGACAATCGATTATAAATATGTGGCCTTATTTGTGGTTATATATTTTATGTCTTACGCTAATGTCAAAATTTTAGTCTTATTTAATATTAAATTGTTTACAAATTTTTATGCATAATGCAAGTGTTTGTTGTACATAACCAGTTATTTTTTTATAGGTTGAATACCAATAATCTTGTGGAGCCTGTAACACACGGCTTAGACTTGCAATTACAAGAGCCGTTCCTGCTATACAGAAATTCCAAATGCAATATTTATGGTATTTGGTTTTATGATAAAGAGGAATGCATAAGGATCGCAGACGTGTTAAACAAGTTAATGAAAGAGTCTGCAGAGCAGAATAGAAAATCTGGCACAAAAACACAGACCAAAGGCAAACGAAGTTCTGGGCCCAGTGTAAATAATGTTGATATATTCACTATGCTGAGTAAAGCCCAGGAAGATTTTGATACTAACAGAGGAATTAGAGGAAGCGGAACTGGCATAGGGTCAAAGTCTCCTGCATGTAACACTATTGAAGAAATCATCTCTGGTCCATTGATTGCTCCATTGGGTCCAGATGTAACTTCCCAAAGCGTAATGGACTTTTTTGCTAAGGCTAAGGTATTGCTTCTACGTGAAGTTACATTTTATATCAAGAGTCTGAAACTCATTATATAAATTTCACCAGGTTAATCCCGGACATTTCAAACCAGGAGAGCAGCCACCTTCTGGAAGTACAGTTGTACCAGAAGGAAAACCATTACTAGCTCGGTTGATGTCGCATCCTGCGGCACATACTTTAGAGCACATTGAAAAACAACAGAGATCAATAACTCCACAACCAGGTCCACCATCTTTGCATCAAGCACAACCTGGTTCTGGAAGTACATCAACTGTGAACAACTTGAGCAGTAGCTTAGCTCCAAATAGATCAAAAAGACGGAGCAGAGCGATATCTCAGCAAGATAGCATTACACCAGGGTCTTCAAATATATCTCAGGACGTCCAGCAACAAATCAATCAAAGCGCGACCGATTCAAATGGTTCCGCTGGTTCAGCCGGTTTTCTGAGGATACAATCTCCAACGACAAACACTAATACTAACCTAACCAACCACCAAAACTCTAACATTGCAGTCTCCAGCAATTCCAACCCACTGGCGTCCTTATTCGCGCATGCCTCAGCCCCTACGGTTAGTTAAACTTTTAAATACAATACACAGCTTCAATAACAATTGCTCAAACATATAGATTAACGATCTGAAATATGTTACACCAGGTATCGTCAGATGATGTGTTAGGAACTACGCCTATCTCAGGAACGGGAACTGCTCCCGCTCTGATACCGCCTGTAATGTTTGCGGCGCCAAGTCCACCAGATCCTCTTAGCAGACCGTTGGAACCGCTGACGAGGAACCAGCTCCTTCAGGCGTTTAATTATCTTCTACGAAGCGATCCCGATTTTATTAACAAGCTCCATGAGGCATACGTCAAGTCTTTTGGCGAGATTCTCTCCTAGGTTCATTAATCCTAGCCAATGTTTAAAGGTTTCTACCCGTACTCGTCATGCGGGATGTTATGCGATCAGCCTGCGCAAACCTTTTCAAACGGACTTAACACCAAAAATCTATCTATTCCTATGTTACATCTTTGTACATAGGTAACCGGCGAAACTGTAACGTTCGTGACGGAATTCATGACAATGACTACCGACCCAATACCGCTTTTGGGCTGGAGATATGAATAAAAAGACCCATATACCTTGGACAGTATTTTTATAAAATAATGCGTTTATCCCAGAAACGATCGCACGCTTTGAAAATAGCGCTTGTCAAGGAATGTTGGGCCTTTGACATCGCGCGCTTATTTCATTCAGTTATGGAAAACGAAAAGAAGGAGAGACAATGAGGCGCAAAGAGAATCGGCATGCAAGATAACTGTTACGGTTCGACGAAAGAATCAACGGGGTTACATGACAAGCGATACGGATACGATTTTAAACTGTGATGCCAAAACATTTATATATATATATATATGTGTGTATATATACTAACGTTTTATGATCACGAGTTCAAAACAAGACATGAAAATCTCTTGAGAAGATCAAATGTGTAGAATGCCTATTTTCCAGAGTATATGACGCACCTTTACTGTATATCAGGCGCCGAGTATGGTATGTGTACTGTAATTAACAGCTGAAAAGAGCAACAAATAAAAGCAGATTGATGTAAAGTTACTCTCTCGATATATTTTAATCGGACTTTTTTTTTCACTCTTTCTCTCTTTTCTTATCGAGTCAGTCTGCAAAGGCGAATACATGTCATGAATAAAATCTTAGTACACGTAAATAATATTATTTATCATAATTATAGAATATTATCACAATATAATATTTATATGGAATACATTGAGAAATGTGCGAGCGGTTCGTTTCTTGAGAACTTTACGCGTTTGCGTATGATGAACAAAAAAAAGGAATCACGTAGAAAACATTACAAAATTCGAACTGTTCGCATATCCCTAACTCACCGTAATACGATAGAAATACCTAGGAGAACCTAGTACTATTTACAAAAATAAAAGGACATACGCGATGTTGTCCATACTCGTCGTAATTTACTGATAAATTGCGACGGTTTCAACATAGATATAATTTACATTTTCATGTGTGTACGTGTATGCATATGCATCGTGTCAGTGTATCTTCCTTCTACTTCATCTTTCATCTTGATAATATTCACAGCCAAGTGGAGCCACACATTGGCCCGCTAGCTTTCTAGGAGTCTTAATCATTATTATTTTATTACAGTAATCGTTATCGATAAGCCGCTCCTTCCCATGGAAGTCTTTGGATTAGCGGCTCTTTCAAACGAGAGGCACTTTGGGGTTTCCAAGGAGTGGTGGTCCATTATCAGGTGTTCGATGGGGTCCAAGTTTGTCACCCTGACTTGGCAAGGGTTGTAAAAGTCTTATCGCTAGACTAGCCAGAATAAGTAGAACAATCAGGCCACATATAGGAACAGCTATCGTAGCTGTTTTAAACCATCCATCCGTATTTTGGCTACCATGGTTGCTGTGATGCTGTACCGTAGAACCGGAATATGCTCTCTGATCACCACTGAGCACTGGAATAAAAAGAGGTATTATAGTTTGGATCTTCATAGCGAAGAGAGATAGACGAAGCACAGCATGGAAAGGAAAGGTAGGCGTATTGCAGAGAATGTAGATGATAGAGGTTCACCGGAGGAGGCACTACGCTACGTCGCTAAAACCTGTTCGGCTTTTTACAGGGCAATGATTGGTGTGGCTACGGTTACGCGGCTTAATTGGACGAGTGAAAAGCTTGTCTACTAAAACCGGAGACTGGAGAATCATCTAGCGTTTACAGCAGAGCCTTATCCTGATCCGAAAGTACGGTATGGCTTTAACTTTGCAAATGCATTGGCAAATCTTCATGGACTTATACGAAGTCATATGATACAGCAGTTAATTAAATATACCAGTGTATTGTAATCAATAGAAAAATACTGGATCGAACTGGATAGTAGCTAGCTTTGGCATATTTATACTTCCAATTAGCAAATCTAAAATAATCTCATTATTTTAGTTACCTTGGAGAGTCTTATTCAGTCTATTCCTCATAGCTGGACTGTCTACGTGATTGCAGAGGTCTTGCTCACAACAGAGATATCCTGCAGGACATTGTCTCTCCTTGAAACTCTCCTCGAGGCATCCATGCTCGCTGTGCAGCAAAGGATTTGATCTGAGGGGCAATTCTGTGAAACATCCACGTCCTCGGCACAAGTATCCCTGAGCGACGCATTCAGGTTGATTGCAATAGCAGCGCACCTCCTGCACGTCTCGTGAACCTGTTAAAAGAAAATAATATGAAATATATTATGTATCCGTCTCAGGTATAATCATTACAGATATAAAAGAGATCGGTCACTGGTATACGGAGGTTAATGTACATCGAGAGTTACCAGAAGAGCATAAGGGTATTTGCAGGTGGTCCTGCATATTGAACCCGTGTCTGGCAATAAGCAGATTTAATGGCCGTTACTGTTAACGTGGCTTCTATGGACGTAATACGAAGCGGGAATAATAAATCGTCAGCAGCTATATATATTTATCCTGTTGGCACTCTTATGATGATTTAGAGCTTACCTAAGGTGTTCGACGGTCTAATGATAAACGAAATTACAAGAAAGGATAAGATCATAGCGTGGCATGACAATCAAATAATTCTGGAGCATTATAATATTATTGCGTAATGAGCGACGTGTGTTATTCTTGTGAATCTTGCGGCTCTTATGACTCTGATAAATTGCTAATTCACCTGTGGGCTAACTAGCTTCGATGAAACGTTGTTGCTATGGTACATAAGCCTTCATTTCGATTTCGACTTCGACATTCTTATTCACGTTCCGGCGATGCTTAACGCTCATTTCCCATCCAGCGCTCCAGGCATTTCTTGGAAAGCGATCGACAAATCGGATTTGTGCTTATCAAAATAGACAGTGCGTGTATAGATAATATACCAATAATACTGTGAACAGATGATTCTTCAGAGAACAGAGAGCATTCAGGATAAGAAAAAGTAATTACAGATACAGGAAGAATATATGGAAAGAATTTTGCGCAACTTGACAACTCGTCAGAAAAGAATCATTATTTATGGAAAGCAGCTACTAATGAGAGACTGACTGAAAATCGTTAAAGATAAAACGTCGCGGCAGCTTCCACGGTATCATATATATATATATATATACACACACGCATATAGTATATATGCTATTTCCATAAAATCGAATCAAGCCGAAGAGCGTAGAAGTCTGTTTGGCATATGTATGCCAGCATATGCATGTTTCATGACGTACGTGATGTATGGGGCCAAGGCATGTATGATATATTCCACGTTTAAGAAGCATACGTACATACATATACACTTAATGAGCGCGCTATTAAGAAGCTCGATGTGCGATAATATAAAATTCAATAGATTTTATGTGTATATCGATCTGAGAAATGTTAATGTAAGAGCGTCGACTGTTCAATAATTGTTGAGATAGTGAAGTTTCAATTTATCCTTCGGTATCCTAATGTACACATGCCAGATGCGAATTTGCTCGTAATTTATTATCCCTGGCATATCGTACAATAAAAGGTCCCCCTTACCCTATCTGATTTTATCCTTTCCTAAAGTCTTCTCATTGTCGGCCTCTCGCTCTTTCGTTTGCTCCTTCTCTCGCTAATAAGCCTGCGGCAGGTCGGTCCCCCTATTGCTTTCCCGGGGGCCAGAGCTTACCGAGGAATAAAAAACGTTAAAACAGCCGAGTCACAAAAGAAAGATTAAACCGAAGAGAGTGTATGGAGAGAGGCATGCGGCGGCCATTCTCTCTTTGTATATGAGTACGTGTGCATATGTGCCCAGAGTTGTTGCTACTCCTTGGCTCTCTGTTGGTGCTTCTGCTGAAGACTCTCACGAGCCGGCGAGTGTGCTTCTCGAAGGAGTCAGACGAAGAGCGAAGAGCGAAGGAGGAGAACGAGGAGAAATAGGAAGGGGCTGAAGAGGCTGTGTTTGTGTTTAAAATAAAAAGGGAAAAGGGAAGCAGCGGGAGGTCGAGCGAAGCCCCAACCAAAAGAGAGATACAACCGACAACCCGAAGCCAGAGATGCCGAGGAAGGCCCGTCCGAAAACAAACAGACTGCTCCGTGGGGCCGTTCGTTATGCGTCCGCGGCATATTAATTATTTTCTGACAAGCTCTTTTTATTGTTTTTTTTTTTTTCATTTTCTTTCTCTTTTTCTATACCTCCCTATACGATCCTTGTGTTACTTTCATCCACGCTCCTAGGATCCGCCCGCGCTGATCGGACTCGCTCTGTCCCCACATTACCTTGACGATATGGACTCATAGAAGCTGACAAAGTCCCTTCGATATTTCCACGTAAACAGAGCGCACGATCTTAGCCTTAGGATAGAAAGCTGGATGGAATGCTGATTCGAAAGAGGTCCCCCTCTAGATATTTCGGAGAGCCGACGACCTTAAGAGTACGCCAATGCTTGTCCTCGATCTAAATGCGTAATGCACTTCCCTAAGGATGCATTAACGACAGTTGCACATGATAAATTTTCGAATCTACTCTTAAGCAATACATTGGGCGTAAAGACATTCTTATAAAACATTCAGTCCACGTACGACGTGGTGGTTTATTACTCGTTTAGATGTTTTCTTGAATTCCATACTGATTGACACCGATACTTCGTTCTGTAAGTATGCAATGGGAAATAAAATTTTCTTGAATTACGCGAATTGCAAGTATGCGCATCTCTTGACGAACAAACGATCTTTGTCTTTAATAACGGAGCATTTTCTTGAGCAGTATTACACACGAACTAAGAGGAGAGCTTCGCGCGGTCGTTCACACCGCGCTACTTCGAATCCCATATTTCTCCAGCGTGCCTAAGTAAGTAAGCAAGCACTTGCTTCACACTGCGTTCACTGTGCACTATCCTCTCTTCTTCTGTTTCTCTCTTTTTTTTTTCCCTCTTTTTCAAAGCCACTCGATGATTTTCACTTGCAGGAGATTGACATGGTCGCAGATAGTGTGCATAATAAAAATGTTATGGCGGCATTGATAACTACAGTCATACCACACTAGGCCTGTATAATGTTAATGTATAATACACGTATGATAAACTGTAAATGTTTGTCCGATCATAAACATACATTCAGAAGCCAAAGTTAATAAGCGATATCGTGTTTCGTTTGTGACGTAAAAGAAAGGAGAAAGATAGAGGAGGAACGGAGACCAAAGCAGAAAGAAAAAAAAAACAAATGGCTGATGCAATGTGATTCGAGGAAGAGAAGGGCAAGAGAGCAGCTACCGACAAGTGCGCTGGCATAATGGACTCTGATAGGTTTCTTTTTTCTTTCTATTTGAGGCGGGCCGGTTCACTTGCTTGGCCATGGAGTATGAGAGTCAATAAAGGTTTTATTTTTTTTGCCAAAGGACCAAAAGAATCGGCCAGAAGTAAAAGGAGTAAAGTTATAGCCTTTTTATTGGAACTGCTTACCTCTTGAAGTCTCTGACTATATACACAACAAGATTTGCATGAGACGCATTCCTGCGGTCTGCAGATTAAAGCAGTACCCGAAAATGGATCAAGATTACAAGGTGGTAACGATAACAGTAAATCGTATGGATCTGTTTACTTGGCTAAGGCTATGTGCAAATTTAAAAACGCGATAGCCGCTAAGTTTACTGGACATAATGGCTAATGGGTATAGTCAAGAGTCAATTTCAAAATTTGAACAATGCTCCGGAGATCCAAGCGTCGAAGGTCAAGACCCGAGATAAGTCCTAGCTTCTGCTATACCTGGACAAATTTTTCTGTCGCTTCGAAAAATCAAAAACAAAAGGGTACACCTAGGTATTTGCTCAAAGGCATGACTATCCGAGTATCCAAGTAGAAATTCAGGCAAGCAACCATTAGAGAAGAGGGTCGCGTTCTACGGTTATGCCGGGTGGCAATTAGCAAGAACAATAGAGACGGGGGCCCTTCTTTCTCGGAAATAGGTAGGTCTCGATGGGTCTCGGTGGGCCCTAAAGAGATACCCAGGTATACATTATGACGGGGCCCATGAAGCTCCCACAGACTCCACTAGGCCCATAGGCCCTGTAAGTATATAAGTGAGAGGCATTTCGGTTCTAGAAGGCAGGTTTCTGATCTTTTGAAGCAACTGGGCAACCAGTGATTAGCCCTACTTAACTCGACTGGACGCGACGCGGCTCTTGGAAAGTAAAAGGCAACGTCATCAATTATATGCAATTGCCAAATTGCTCAAAATTATACACAGGACTGACTTATAATAATCCCCTAGTCGATTACACGCTGATGCCCTTTTCGCTTTATCATACACGCATAACCCTACAGCCATCGTAGGTTACCTCCTTGATGCAAAGTTTAGTCGAACGATGTACACCTATCCAAGGATGCATTTTCCCTATCTCTGTTCGTTTTAAAATAATAAAAAAATCTCAGATGCCTATCGGTGACAAGAAAAGAGGAGAAAAAATGTGAAGGAGGGACTTCTGGCCAGTGTATAGCTTCTTCATTTAAATTCAACGCGTATTGACTTGCACGCATGCACGCACGCATGGATGGATGCCACATGAGTGCATGCACGCGGCATCATATCGCATACGAGATATAACATTAGCATAAGGTGTACGGGTTGGCTATAGTGTACTACCTGTATATATATATATGTGTATAATAAAGTTTCAACAATACCATAGATACCACAATACTGTCTTTCTCATCGAACAATATTCATTTTCATTATATTCCGTTTGAAAAAACCCTGTACAAGGGACACTGATTACCAGCAATTATATGTATACGCGAGCGTAAGTGACTGAAGTGTGTTCTCCTTAAAGAGCGTCCACGCGTACTAGTTAGGTCACCCTGTACATTGTATAAAATTGTTGTACTCGTTTGCGTGCGTGTGCTCATTCCGCCGTGCAGGTTGCCCGGAATTACAACAAGTTTAAAAAGACAGGAGGAGCGTTCAAAACAGTTAGGTTATATTCGTCACTTCATGACCAACGGCGCTTAAACTCGCCTTGCATTTTATTTATTTTTTCTCGTCTTCTTGTTTCACTCCCATCTCTTACCGCGCTTCTTGTTTTCTTTGTCTACTTTTTATTCTTTTAATACGCTTCTTACTCTTTTGAATTCCTCAGCTGATTCCGTGCTAGTCAAAGCCATTCCGCTTAATGTCAATTTCAACGCGAAGAGCCTGCCCAGAGCTGATTATAAGTTTGTGAAGTTACAAGGGATTGAAACGATCGAAGCTTACTTGACGCCCGTTACGTTCCGTTACGCTTGACGGAATCGCTTATGCTTATAGGGTCGATTGGAACTTTCGTTAACGTATCGTGCTAGTCTGTCCGATGATTCACGAGCGGCGTCGTGTTTCCGTTATGAAATTTCCATCGAAGCTACAGTGGCGCCACGGTCTCCGTGACGGTGGAAAAACGAATCGTAATGTTTATGCCTCTATGCTCGCCATGCTAATACGATTAGTCGTCTGTATAGACGAGCGGAATGATCTTATAGACATCATATCATTGGATTGCAAAAACAATCAGATGCAATTTGCATCAGGCTATACAGCGTACACAAAACAATAACATTAACAAAATAACAAATTTCCTACATAAATAGAAGTTAGCTGATAGTTTGTACAATGATTACCTCAGTTATAAAAATAAACAAGACAGCTAATAATCTTGTTATTCAATTTCATTGTTTGACAGTTGATAAAAAATTAATATAACTCAATTCTATCTATACCACAATGTAGCAACGTTAGACCTGTGAAATACAAAACTATATGTATATATATTAATGCGTGGGTAGCAGGCACGTGTGACAGCCGTCACTTCCGTGTGCCAACTGCCGGACTGGATAAAGGATGTGATAGAAAGCGACGAAAGACGATGGATAAGCAATAAGTATAGACGTACGTAAGTATGCCGATGTGCAGTATAGTCGAACCAATAGGCGCAATGAACGTGTAACTGCGCTCGAGAGAAAAGCGAGTATAAAAATACTTTGGTTGGTGAGACCTAGCCATTTTTATTCGGTACGCGCGTACGTTTAAGAAGCAGGCGCCAGAAGTAGTTCGGTGTGTGTAAATATAGGAATATATAACTGTCAGCAGTAAAGCGGTATACGCTCTGGCTCTTTACATACGATATATAGCATATGCAGTATAGTCTATGTTTTATACCGTATATTATGTACTGTTTACTGTTTACTATAAACACACGATTCTCGATAGGAACACTATAGTCAAATGTCCTGTCTGGATATACGTATAGATATACTCTCCAGGACATCCTATCCAAAAGATCTCTTCACGATCCGATCCGAATATCTTATGGAATCCTCCTTGATCCTTATAAAGAGCAAATAAATGTGCGGATACTTAAAGTTACATGGATCTTCTTGAAACTGCTTAATTAACTCGATTGATGAACTGTAAAAGAACGAACTAGCTACAAAAGATCCGGCAAATCCGGTTTATCATATTTCTCTATAAACTAATGTTAATACATATATAATATCAAACGACAGAAAGGTTTGCCGCTCATTCTTATGCGTTTTACTTTGGTAGACCAGAGTGAATCACGTTCTTATATTCCGCAAATAAACAAAGCATCCCTATGACTCTTTGTATACATGCATACGTGGTATGTAAGTCAAATGCATGCACAGTAAAACATACATTAAACATATGTCATGGGTGATCATAAATGTGACAAGAAGGTTAAATAAAGAATTTAATATTGACGTCTAGAAACAGTCGCTAGTTAAAATCATAAATCTATTTAATTAGATCATTAATCTATCTGTGTATGTATATATATATATATGAATTTATAGTATATAAATATATAATCATATACCTATACAGGTATTACACATAAATGAATAAACGAGATTCAGGATGTTCCGTAACAGGCTGTGATTGCTTGAAAGTAACATAAGTGAAATGTTTCCGTAAAACAGGATCCTCTTCTTGGCTGCTTCAAATATACGTTTTTCTCTTTCTTTCTTTAGCCCTCCCCCTCTCTCTCCCTTTGTTTCATCCGCGTAGAATCAAGCAAGTACTGCCTCACCAAGTACTTTACACGGTCTGCTCGTATGCAAGAGGCGTGCAATCCACACTACATATGCAGAGCGCAATGCGTGCATACGTAAGATGTACGTACCAATACGAATAAAAAGGATTGAGCTACGTGTACGTTTACTCTCTATATGTTATGTATGTGCATGATCGTATGTATCCATATGTACATGTATACATATGTAAAGTATATAGGTAGTCTGCTATCCGCGCGCCTAGCTGGCGCCCGACTCGCGCTTTATCGTCTCTCCTCGTTCTAGACAGTAGAAACTGAGAATTTTCACTGGCCACTATTTAAGAATGAAACGATAGTCATGAAAATTGGCTGATTCTTCGAAATCTAACGTATACGGTCCGTGCGACTTTTTGGTCTGGGAGAAGCTCGTGTTCTTGTGGTCTGTTTGCTTTTTACGATTGACATATTATTAATTAACGTGACTAACGATGAGTTTAGTGGCTACGGATCGTATGGACAAGGCAGACGAATAAAATCGACTGGAATAGAATTGAATCAGAACTTTATGCAGATAGCAAACAAGACCGGAATAGAGAGTGGTTGGGTGCCTTTGTTCAAGGGAAACGTGACTGGGCAATTGGCACGTTATTAATCGAGCCGGCAATTATCGTTTCGTTATACCCATAGTGGAATCGTTACTACTGGCTACGACTTGTTATGCGTGTGTATAGACATTAGCATGATAATTTCAATCATAGCATGCACTTTGTATAGTGTTAAGTGAGTGTCTGAAAATTATGTGTTAAATTAATATTACCGTCATTCACGGATTTCCCTGTGGCTTCTGTGAGCATCTCATAATCGGCCAAGTCCAAATCGATGGATGCTGAGGACGTCGCGACGGTCAGCGTCGTTATCGTAGCGAGAGTTATCAATTCCCTCGGCAACATTTTATTTGTGTAATAAACCCTCTTGCGATTCACGTGCGCGTAATCTCCTCTCCTCTCTCGCCCCTCTGTTCCTTCTGTATCTTTGTCCTCTTCTAAGTTTTCACAATCTCGACCATAATCCTCTAGGAAAAGGATACTTCTCCGTTTTTCACGAAAAGTTTCAAAATAATTGTCACGTGTAAAATTAAAAAAAAATTCAGCCTTAAATAAAACTGGGAATCTCTTTTTGAACTGGACTCTATGCAAAAAATGAAATCAAGGAAAACAGACTCCTCGCTTATTATATTCACATGCAAGAAATACTAAAGCATCTCGGACGTATTAACGTAACTGGTTATAAGAGCACGTGTAACACGGACGTTCAATCGCTCACGACGCTCCTCGTCGACTGAGTCCAACTGAGTCACTTCGAAAAGCGAACAGCCGAGCGACGGCAGCCTCTGCCTTTCCCCCTCGTCCCACCTTCCCCTCCACCCTCTAATACACAAGAACAAGGGGCACCCGTTTCCCGACACTCAAGAACACTCACTGATAGTTTTTAAAGCAGGGAGAAGCTCCCTACTGTGGCATTATGTATCCATGTGCCAGTCGGTGCACGCACTCTGGCGCTATGTATACCTGTGTTTGTTCGTAGGTCCCAGTCAGTCCCCAACATAACCAGGGACAGACGGCCAGGCTAGGAGTATTGGTATAGAAGTTTCTGCCGCAGGGACCTAGAGGGTGAGGAAAAACGGTTTAGAAGGGAAGCAACGCGCCACAGGAAAGGGGAGCATGGCGCCTCAGGCATAGACGCACTCGTATACAGACGCAGTACCGACGCCAATAGACGCCAGGCTGTGACTGGTGTCTTTCGGTGTATCTTTACGTAGGCTCACAAGGAGTATCGGTGTAAGTGGAATACGAAGAGAACTTGGATACCTTTATAACGACAGACGGCTCCTTTTTCGTGTATCCTATCGTCTACGTACGGACTGTCACGGTGGCGTCTTCTTCAGGGTTTTTTCGTGTGTGCGAGAACTGCGAAGAGTCACTGACAATCGGTTCACATACAGAGTTTTATCTTTTATCGTATCCGCTTGTGGGACCGGAGCGAGACACACCTGGTTTGCGACGCCACTTCCTGTAATCGAGACGTTCTTCTGTGTATTGCGAGGACATTAGGATGAACTGGATAGGGGAATGCTTTTTATTTATTTTTTTAAAACTCTTATTCGTCAATTTATTATTTTTAACTCACTCGATTCTTTTAGCCAGCTGGTGCCTTCGGGGACCTACGCTTGATCTTGACTAAGATAGGACCATACGATTCTGTGGAATGCTTCACCCTTTGTGTTAAACGGCTGAATTTGATGGCTCCACTAATTCTTTTATTTCTTTTCTCAAGGAGTAATCGAGTATTATTCGACGACAACAAGCTTCTGACTAATGCTTGGACAAAGACACCTGCTCTGGGTCCCGACACGCTTCTCCTGGGACGTGTGCCCCTTTTTTCCTTCTACACTTCCGTGTGCTCTTTATGAGATTTCTCATGGATTCCTCGCATGAGTATCCACAATGTGGTCGGCTCTTTTCGCCGACCGGTGACTAATTATATTGGAACAGTTGGGGCACCTGGAATCCATGGAACCCCTTCCACGACTTGTTTATTTTTCAGAGTCTTCCTTTTCCTTTATTTCTTATACTCTTATTTTTCTTCTTATGTTGCCCTGCTCACTGCTAGATGGATGTCCATTGTCTGCTGAGTGTCTTTGTCAGTCATCAGTGGTCGCCACACAGAGAGACGGTCAGAGAACCAGTCCTTAAATCTTCTCCGGTCCTTACCAATAAGGCAACCAATTTCTTAACAATTAGCTCATACTTTTTCTTTCGTTACTTGTTTACTTTTTGATATAAAATTATTTAGTAGCACCTCGTTACCATGCGGACCTCATTCTGGATTTATGAATCCAGTCAAAGTATATATCAATATCTACCAAAGGATAGTAGACTATCAAAAGCATACAAACACGACTTCAGCATTGTCCTTCTGTATGACGAAGATCGTTTCCTGGGAATCCTCCAAGAAACCTGTAAAAGACAAGGTAAACTTTAAGAGTTTCATAAGAACTTTTTAGTCAAGAACGTAAGCGTCCTTTCAAAATGATAGGGTATTTCGAAGCAAGAATAAAACCCCTTCGATAAATAAATGTTGGAAGATAAAATAATAAGGAGTCAAGGAAAAAGAGGTATATGGACACCAGGGAAGAGGATCTTTCTTGAGGAGATAAAGCGAAGAAAATAATAGGAGGCGAGGTTGGCCAGTCGGACATTCTTGAACTCGAAAACCCACTTAGCGTTCGGGACTGGAAGATTAGAGGGTAGACACCGTAGAAGGAGCCCTTGGCTCTGCTATCTGTTTGAGTGCATAGCCATTGCATGGCGCAGCCTGAGGGAGACTGATAAGAGGGCGGCTGGCTGGCTTGCTTTTAGTATGTCGCGACAGTCGATGCCGTTCCAGTCGGACTTTGGAGAATTTTAGAGGAAGAGATTGAGAACGAATGAAGGAATAGGAGAGAGGCATGAACGGGAGAAGGAGGGACAGAGTCCCCACGAAGCAGAGAGGTTTCGTATGGAAGTAGAAGTGAAGGACAGAGGAGTTATAATGCGGAGAGAAATAATGAAAGCCATATAGAGCAAAGTCCAGACTCTATGACATTTATCCTCTTGTTTTTAACTGTCCTCAATCACTCTTTCCTCTAATCGCTTATTATACAGAGTTTACTGTATCATCCTTATAGTATATAGATAATGAATTCTTAACGAGGGACCAGCCAATATACCTTAATGACATAGGCATTCTTTGTCAATACGTTACTGTTTTCTATTCTCAAATTACTTTTAAAATATATTAAATGTGGTTACGATGATACCAGCTTCATGGTTATGTAGAGAAGCGACAAGCTCTTATAAATAATGTTACTGTCAATGCAAGGAATATTCCTGCTTTTGGATAATGGATCTAGCGATGTTGCGAAACTATGATAATTAAGAGAAACGTGGTAACGATTTTTTGTACTTGAAATAACGAATCGGCCGGTCACCTAACTCGAATCCAGAATACTACCAGTGTACGATATCATGTAATATTTATATTGAAACCCAACAATAATTTCGATCTAACTTACGTCGACCAATGAATGATACATATAATATTAACTAAGAATATCTTGGATTTATAGGCGTCATACGATAATTACCAAAAATAATATTAATTTCAAAGTTTGACTAACCTCGTAATTACGTAGCAGGCGGCCAAGACCGATAGTAATGCGGCTATTGCCAATAACAAAACAGCCACGTGAATCGGTCTTACTTCCCCGTGTAAAATTGAATGGATTGATCCAAGATATCCATTGTTTCTGATCTCGTTCGTGGATATTTGAACTGACAGATTGTGACTCTTTTGTGTAGTAGTTTCAAGATCGATAGAAGGCAGAGTGTGTCCTTGAAAAAGGGTTGGTGTTGGAAAAAGCAGAGATGCTTCGTCAGACTCGGTAATTGATTCAGTGTTACAGTAATCGTGTGTGTCACAACAGTTAAGTCTTGGCCAAGGTACTCGAATTCCTCGTATACGCGGAGAAAGTTCATCCGTCCTGGATGTCCTGGACGTTATGGCGTTTGCTTGCGATGGTCTGGCTCTTGTCTGGCATAATAATGGCGTAGGGCTTCTGTACAGACAATTTTACAATAATACGCGACTTCGCATCAAACAACAGAATTTACTTTTATATACTCTATACCCTGCAGTCTATACTGTCTACACTCACGACTATGACGAAGTTCATAATTCTGTACTCCGTCGGTAGAGCCGCAGCGCGGTGTCATTAGCTGTCGGTATAAAGAGCGGACGATTTACTAGTTTTAAACGAATGGTAACTAACAACGTCACGGAACGATAATCAGTTAATCGGAATAAAGAATTGACGATATCAAGCAGGAAGAATTTTCATTGGTCTATCGTACGAGAAAATAACAGGGTTACTATTGCGACATCTGAATTTCGAAATTTAAAATATATAATATCTAGTAACGATCAGCGCATTCCTAAGTGAACAGTCGATATCAATTAGGAATGACCGATCGATTTTATGTAATGTTTGAAATGACAATCTATCTGATAACTAAATTATTATCGGTCGACATGGTTATCATTGCTGAGTGCAATTTTGTAGTAACTTATGCAGCCATGCACGTTATACGAATATCTGACGTTCGCAGGACGTTTTATATTTTATGTGCGGATTTCTGTGTAACAAAATTTGTATATTTTCTGTAACTTAGTGTAAACCTACAAAAGACAAAATATAGAATTTACACAGTACAGAAGTTCATTGTAATTACTCCGCCAAGCCAGAGCAATGCTGTAAACCTTTCAACTCTATTATCTTGTCAAGGTTATCAGAGACGGCGCGACGATACAATTAAACGATGCCGACACCCGACATGACACTTTTATTATTGCACTTACTTCTTTTATCATATACATATATCCATATAGCAATCGCTATTCGTTCGATATAACGATCTGAGCTTTACTAAAGTTATAAAAGTTTGTCGTCGGTTACGAGAACACATAGATATACATACTCGGTGCATCCTCGGGTTGTCGTGTTTAACCGAACGTTCCCATCATTATTTACTATCAATTCTGTATAACAAGAATATCGCGTTCTGCATGTATCCATACCAGCTTCTTTACAGGCCTTGCTGCTGCAAACGCATTTCCTCCCTAAAATAATATATCCTGATAAGTATAAAATATTTCCTATCGCATTTATCCGCATTGAAAGTAACAATACGTAATTGGTGACAGATCAGATATTAAAAATAAATATTATCTCGATGCAACTACTTACCATGAGTACACACAAAATTCATTGATAACAATATAAATAAAATAGTGATTACTTGACGTGTGCGACAAGCTCCAATCAAGTACATGTCACTGGAGCTTTTGCACTTGAAGCACCGAGTATCACCAGGACGAGAGACCATTGGAAAATGTGCGAAGAAGCCACAAGCAAAGAAAGAGTCACTCACGGTGGCTTCTCTAATTTTAGTACCTCCCACTGTTATTACCTATTTCTTCGCGTAAAACGCCATTTTACCCTTCACACTTGGAGACAATTTATTCGCGTGGATTATTATACCCGCCACTTTAAATTCTCAAAGTCCTGCATGTGCTACATGCTGAACGAATAAATGCGTTTCGTTCTTCCACGGTAAGTCCCAGAAAGAGTTGGACGCTTTGAACCTTCAGCCTAACTATCGTCCGATTTACACTCGTATTTTCGCACTCTCAACACCGGACGTATTTTTTTAGCGGCAAGATATTACCATCTACCAACTCGTATACTTTGGCTTCCTATATAAATTCCATGAGTTTATTGGCAAACTGAGAAAATAAGATTGGCGAATGTACAGATTGGTTGTTTAAATTTGGGTACTCGATTTAGCTAATGCTATAGAGACATCGAGTGTTCGTTATCGTGGATTAATAAAATTGGACAATGAAAATGTAGAGAGTAAGTATAGAAGAGTTTTATATACGTGATAAAGTCACGAATAGAATAAGGTTATGTATACAGCGCATGTGTTCGAACGATTTAAGATATAGAAATAACAAATGGATTTAATGCGAAAAGAAGAAGCACCGGATGTTTATTCTAATTTATTTGTAACGAATAATTCAATAATGCTTCCCTCGAAATAATATTTCAACGTATCTAGATATCTCGAGGTACGCTCCTCTGTGAGTTCTGACAAAATGTACAGTCCGTTCAGAATAATTCATAGCTATTTCGCAATCCTGTTTGTCGAGCGGCGGTGTCGGGCCCTTCGATTGTCCTCCTTAATTAACTCCCAGATCTCCGGTTCGAGTCTTGACTCTCGATTTTTAACTGGTACTACCGCGGCCTCAGGCATGTCTTCTTAATTGTTAATGGGAGTCGCGAACGAGTTTCGCTGGCAATCTCTATCTCCGTCTCTCTCGGCCTAAGACGCTGCCACAGACGAGGAACTGGCTTGAGCTCGCTCGACGTTGCAGCCTGAAACAATATTTAAGCGGGGCTTTGTTTGCAGGGTAAGCCGGCTACAGCTGCGGCTTTGTCTTCAGCTTGAGATTCTCATCCATAAACACGTTACGTTGGACAATGATAAATTTCTGATTTCCTTTTGTTATCGCATATCAGTATGCATAATAGTTGATCTTATGCCGAGATTATACTATAGATTTTCTTTGCTAAAACTCCTTAGCCAAGATAGATATAGGAGCTTGTCTTTTAACCGATGCATTAAAGGTAATTTCGCGGATAAAGTGAAAGATGTATTTATGGTAAACACATAGGCTCCCTTGTAATAAAGCACCCCTTGGCTTTAATGTTAATGCCTTTCGACCCTGGTACCAGGAAGTTGTAGTACCTATAGAATCTGGTTTATCTTGATATTAAAAAAAAAAGGCAGATCCTATCCAGAACCCAGGAGGTGATCATCATCATCCGTATGGAAAGAGAATCATGCTACCACAGGAGCTGAAATTTACCAGAATTTTCATTTATTTGTATCTTCATGAAGCTGCACCTTACCCCAATGATTAATGGAGTATAAATATTAGATGTATCAAAGTAGATAAACTTACTCATATGGGTAAAAGGTGGCTGTGGAGGAACCAACGACATTTTTCTATGAGAATGCAAAAGAGCAGGAGTCGCTATTATGTTAATAGATATCTCATGATTTTGAAAATGATTTCCATCCCTATTATCATTAACATGTGGTACATTTTGACCCAGTGTAATATTATGCAAATTATGCCTGCAGCTACTCACGATGTAACTGCTTACCTTATAATGAAAATATTCATTTATCAAAGACGCTTATACTCTCTCGAATTTATAATTGATTAATACGCAATATCGCAGGACGGATACATTACCGAAATGATGACAAAAAATGCAAGGAGTGCAATGCCCAACCAGAAATACCATGCGTCCCAAATTGGCCTTGGCGGACGTCGTTGTACCAATAGACAGCATTGTGGATTGCAACAGCAATACAAACAGTACTTATCTGGAGGACAACTAAAATGGCCATTGGTGCCAGTATCGTTTCCGACATTACGTATATCCAAATTACATTCGTATATTAATCCCATATCCACTACATTCCTTTTCATTGTATTATCTTTTGCCACATTCTTTTTTTTTCTTCTTCTTTCTGTTTCACACAATTATACTTTTTTCATGTACTCTGAAGAGCTCCTCTCATATACATGATACACGCTTCTTAACAAGGTACGAGGTATTTGTTAGTGGAAATATTATGATTTTTCGTTTTCTCAATTTTACAATCAAAGCACAACACTTCAGGGTCATAAGAGACGTGTGTGATGCGCAGATATATTAGTTAACTACGAGTATGCTTGTGATAGCGGTAACCGATGCGCCAAGTAAGGGATGACTGCGGTGTCATTGGGTGCGGCTATACGGACACTAGGAGTTATAACTACATGGTAGTTACCTGGCTGGGAGAAGGCCACGTGAAATAATCGATGGAACCTACGTCCGGCAAAGCAATCATGTTCACGCACGGAAACCGATCGATATTCCTTACTGACCACTACTACTGTATTATTGCTGAACTACCATAGATCTGTTGAAGACTATAGAAGTTTTATGGTAACCATAGTTGTTTAATTTGTATAAATAATCTATCAAGTGAGTCTTGACCTCTTTAATTTTATTTTCCATTAAAATATGTGGGTCTTGATTATGTTTTATGAAAATTTTACACGTTCCTCGTACAGAAATTTATACTCAATAATGATTGTCTTAACCTTGGTATTGGGTAGCGTCATGAGGAGGTGGAGGTGGAGGTGGCCCTCTAGGAGGAAACGGAGGTCGAAATTGGGGTGGCGGTGGAGGTAGTTGTCCACCTTGTGATACCGGTGGAGGTGGTGGATGTCGCCATCCTGGCGGCGGTCTTGGTGGTGGAGGTTGAAATTGCCCGAATTGAGGATTTCCGGACTGGGAAGGTGGCGGTGGTGGTGGGAACTGACCCTGTTGTGGGCCACCGATACTCCAATGTGGCGGCGGAGGTGGCATCATTCTTGGAGTAGTTTGTTGAGCTTGAGATGTTGGCACCGGCATAGGAGGTAGCGGTGGTGGCATTCCTGGTGGTAATGGCGGATGAGCTGCCATAGACATTGGAGGCAGAGGAGGAGGTGGAATATTCGATGGCGCGAATCCTCCTGATGGAGGTGGTGGTACTGGTGGCGGTGGTGGATGTCCCATCGAAGAGATGGGTGTTGAAGGTGGTGGAGGTGGAGGTACCACCATTCCATGATGCATTACGTGATGCTGTGGATGATGTGTCTGCTGATGGGATGCGTTTGAATTTGGAATTGGTGGTGGTGCAAGAGGCGGTGCATCCGCAAATAGTTGATGGGGTCTGTCAGCTTGGCTCAGTGGATTTTGAGCGGCCAGAAGACGCTCTGCCGCACTGCCATGACGCTCGCCTTTGGCGTCTCGTTTAAATGCATATGATACAGATATGGGACGATTACATAAGTATTGTCCGTTCATGGCTTCGATACTTGCGTCTGAGGCGTCGAATGATGCAAAGTTTATAAAAGCAAAACCCTTTGAATTTCCTGTTTCTGGATCACGCATTATCTACAGGAAATAAAGGATATATATGATTATTACATGCACATATTAATACCAAATAAACTTTGAAAAATTTCTTTATCTGTTTTGAATGATTATGTTAAATAGAATTCGTGTAAGCAGTTACCTTAGGTGTTTGAAGGATGACACCAAATGCACTGAATGTATCATACAGTAATTTCTCATCTACTTCAGGATCCAGATTTCCAATGAATATATTAGCACCAACATCAAGATTTTTCTGATGAGCACTTGCTTTATTTACTCTAATTGGTTTCCCATAGAGTTTAATCATATTCATTATTTTAATTGCATAGTCTGCATCTTCTTCACCCATAAACTCTACAAAGCCATAGCCTTGATGCATTTGTGTTACTCTGTCCTTTGGCATATGCACATTTACTGAAATAAAAAACACCACAAAATCTTATTTACCCTTCGTATATTATTAGATCCGTTAAAAATTCTATTCTTATGATGAAAAATATTGATCTGTTCTATAAGAATGTACGTAAACTCACCGACAGGCCCTGATTGAACAAATAATTCCCACATAAGGGATTCAGTAACTTTGTCGTCCAAGCCACCCACATATATAGTTGCATCTGTTAACATAATACAAATTAATGATAGAAATGGGAAAAAATTACAAATTATTTTAGAAACATTATAGCGTTGACTTGTAAGCGTTTATGCTTAACCTTAAACAATGATATGTTCAGATAATACTGAAATTATCATTATAAAAACTAGCACTATGATTCACTATCGCATCAATGTTAATAAATATAAGAAGGAAGAAAAGACATTCATTTATAAGTGTTATTTCATAGAATTACCTTGATTTCTCTCAGCTATTGGACCGGCCGCCATAACTTTAGTGTGCAATATAACCTATTCCACAAAGTTCTGTAAATCCTGTATACGCACCAATGAATTACTGTCGCCATCTAGTTGTAAGTTAATGAAACTACTTCATAACACGATATAAGTGAGTACCTTCAACCACCGTCAATGTGCTATGAAAAATAAATTTTAATCCATATTCAAAATTCGAAATATCACAAGTTATTCTTAATATATTTTATTTGCTCATTTATTTAAAAGATATTTAGATAGACATATTCAGTAGCATATGAATTTCGTAATTTCTGTTATTTAGCTTGTACTGGTACCTTGTGTCTCTTGAGTAGCTGAAAAATAAGGTAATCACGTATAATAGTTGAATAATTATTACCGTCACTAGTTTATTATTATTTTGTTTTTACTACCTTTATATGAATATTCTAAAGCAGTAGCTATGGTTCTCATATCCCCTTCTATACTTCGAGCCCAATTCTCAGCATCTCCGATTTCCTTTAAAGCACTTGAAAAGGATTCGACTAAGTTTAGCCAAGATTGAGTTTGCTTAGCAAAATTAGTTGCACTATGTTGCAATTGTTTTGCTTCTGCGTCCAATTTTTTTTGGTTTAAATATGCCTGAGCCACTCTATAAAACAATTTAAAAATATAGTATGTCGGACAAACAATACTCATTATGACATTTGTCTACATACCCAACATTTAGATGATCAACAAGAGCCTGTGTTAAATTATTTGCAGCTTGCACAGCTTCCCTTCGTTTCTGTTCTGTCAATAATGAAGTATTAAATGCATTGCAAAAGATGAACAAACGCCAATCATTACGTTCTAATTATACCTTGTCTTTCCTTCCTGGCAACTTGTTTACTCTGATGCTCTTTGACAATAGCTGATAACATTTTTGTTACTGTTAAATACAAATTCTGTTTATTAACAAGAAGGTTTGTATATTACAGTGAAATGTCAACCTCAAATATAGAAAAGCATTAATTACAAAGATAAAGACGTACGACTAAATCCGTCAAATGCTTCACAACTTCAACGTTCATGTAGAACTGTAAGTCGATAATGCAGATCACTCTATCTAACAGATTTTTCGTCAAAACAGTAAAATCAGCATCAAAGTAAAAATAAGAACGAGAAGATGAACAACATGTGGACAACAAAGTAAATCTTTTTGTCTTCGGCAGCAAAGAAAATTATGGAAATTCCAAAAGACTTCCCGTGGAGTTACCAATGACAGTTTAAATAGTACGACTGACTGAAACTATCCTGAATCTGCACGAGTAATAAGAATGATTACGATTACACTCTTGCCGAACTCATTCCTAGCAAACTGATATTCATAGTCCTTCTATGTACTGTCTCCATGTCCTTCATTCTGTCTTCTATGCACGAATTAGTGATCTTTACTTGCACATCTCCTAATTGGAGGAGTCAGCCATAAGGAAAGGAAGGAAGGAATTAGTGATCTGGTTTTGGTATTCGCTTCTTAACCACCCCTGATCATTTTTTTAGAGAAGGGGCAGTACAGCTCGAATCTTTTACTTCTCTCACGCAACGTATTCTGAGTTTATCAACCCTCTCACCCCTACCAACGTTGTCGCTACATAAACCGTTGCCCACTTGCCGATGCGATTAGAAAAAGTTTATCCTCACGTGTCGTCACTCTGCATCTCATAGCAACGGTAATTATATGTATAGAGTTAAAAATTAAAATTTTAGGTAGAACTGAATCATTTTTATTCATTCTTGTACAATTTTATATATATTTTACTTAAAAGATTGTTTTTTAAAACTTCGATTATTTTCTCCATGCGTTCAACCGGCTTCCTGTGTTAGTTACTACTTTTCAGAGTACAAATGTCCGCGGGTGGACCACACGATGGCTTGCAGGCCATTTTAAGGATGATTGTACATACATACATACTGTATGGGTATACTGACTTCCACCGTAGCCGTAGTTTTCAACTTAATTTTAAATTTTCATGATGACTGTCTTTCTTCATCCATGACGATTCTATTACGATTTCTTTGCACTGTTTCAAGTAGTCATTCAGAATTGACTTCTTCATTTAAAAATTATATTCTTCAAGAAACCGTAACCTGCATGAAGTTGGCCGACTAACTTTTATTTTTTAAACTTGTTATTTCAATCGTTTGATAGTCGTCAAACAAAAACGTTTGATAGTTACTTATTAGTTTTTTCAGAGAATTAAAATCTGGTGTGAGGTTGGCAATGCTCTGATTAGTTGAAACGGGGTACTCAGAAACGTTTTATCGCTTCATTCAACTTCACACTACACGTTGATTTGGGTTTTCTGAACATAACGTTGACTATCAAACGTTTTTACAGCACTATCCAACGAATGGAAGTAGAAAAAGTTTGCAATATGGTCTAATTCAGTGTATACACTGATCGATGAATCGACTGGGATCCTCGATTCGCATATCGGTTTTTTTTTCATTTTTCTAGCAAACGGTGGACTATCAAACGCTTTTATTAGTTAGTTCGCAACTATCAAACAATTATGTATTGATTGAGGCCCGGAAGAACTAACTTCGGTTAGAAACCAAAAAATGCGGGCTAACTTCAAATTAGATTTTGATTTTGATTTTCTGAAAAAACTATTGACTATCGAATAATTTTGCAAGACTATCAAACGATTGGAATAAGAAAAAGTTTAAAAAATAAAAGTTAGCCGGCCACTTCACGCAGGTGAAACCGTAAATGCATTCTTGCATATTGTAAATTTGTTAGGCCTGAGAACTTCTGAATTCAGTGTTTTACATTTGCGCTTGTCCTTATTCAATTTTGTTAAATGACTTCACGTCACAAGTTTACGAATGCTGTTCATGTGCGAATAAGTTACGCAAATAGAAATAAATAACACAAGTAGTATATTGTACGAAAGTCAATATTTGTTGACCGTTTTATTGAACGCCCGGTGACTTACGCGCTAGATGAATGAAAAAAAAAAAAGGAATAAGGATGTCCTCATTACGAATAGGAATCAAGGTATTGGACATAAAACCGTGGTAGGTTTAGCATAAGAGTAAGATGTAAAGTGATGAGTGAGGAAAGCGAGTTGGTGAGAAACTAATGAAAGTGATGGTCGGGGTTAAGTAACAATGACCACGTTTACACGATGGTCTTAAACCGGTTTAGTTAATACTGATCTAAAGGAATTGACCAAACCCAAATTTTCCTTAAAAGTAAAGATGTCTCCGATTTGTCTATTCCTTTAGACCAGTATTAACTAATTGTAAACCGGTTTAAGACCATCGTGTAAACGTAGTCAATAAACGAGGGGGTTAGGACTAGAGGTTTTGGAATGGTGGAGGGATGTTTAGGATTATCGGGAAGATCGTGATGGGTCGATCATATATAATCGTTTTATTTATTCAATAACGATGTCTAATAAACGGATGTATCTCTGCAATGAGAACCAACTGATAAAGAATATGATCGGTATATAAACCTTCGGAGCGGCAGCCCTTTTGCTCGGTCCCTAGTTATAAAAGATTTCGATGGCTCTTGATAACATTTTCGGAAACTGGAAAGCCAGTTCGAAGGAGTTTTTGTTTCGACACCGAGTTGCCAGTTGAATATGATTTTGGGCTTCAACGCCCAATGATTCTGATTCTCTCTCTCTTGAGGCTTGCCTTTTACTGCCCTCGTAGCTCTCTTCTTTCTAGGCTTGAGACTTCTCAGCCGGAAATGAATCGTATGCAGATCATATTCTTTGTCACGAGCGCGAAAAACCTTCGGATCTTGAAATTCGAGCAAGAGTGAAAGATCTTCAGAAATTCTTGTCTTCGACTTTTCTTTGCAAAACTTTTCATTTTTTCAGAGTGAAACTTGAAACTTCCCTCTATCATCCAATACCTCTTGATTCAAAACCTTATAAACAAACAAACATGTTAGAAGACTTACGTCTAGTTTGCAGGTTTATTGTTTTCTTTCTTTCTTTCATTTTTTTTTAAATCTCTAAGAATACCACATTTTGCGGCTTTGTACTGTTTACGTTTTAAACAGTACTCTACCGTCTAACGGCTGGAATACAACTTCAAGCAAATTATACATACAGTTATGGAAAAAAAGAATAAACGAACAGCCAAACTAAAACGCTAAAATATTGAAATGCTTAATCGTATTCCAACCTTCACATTAGAGCCGTACGAATAAGAGTAACTAAAACCTTATTTCCATAATATAAGAGAATTGATATCGGCTTTATGAAAATAAGGTTTCTTGTCCATTCTGACCTTACCATATCAACTACACGAAAAGTTCGGGTATTTTTCCAATTGTTCACTCCGTGTTTCAGCTTACTTTTCATATTCAAATTGCTCGACGCACACTAGTACTTCGACAATTCTTTCAGATCAACTTAAATCAATTGAATTACTCGTGGGGCAGGGATTATCCCGCTGTAACGTAATAATAATTCAATAACGTGATACGGTGCAGAATGATGTAAGGTAAGAATAGCTTATAGAATGTAGCGTTTGCATTTTTGACCCCGTATTTAGTTAGAAGTAATTGGGTTCAAAGGGTCAAGTCAAGTCACACACAAATGGCTCCCAACACCTGGCCTCTCGCATCACACTCGTGTCACTTAATACCGACCTGAAATTCATTAAGCAACAAAAACCATGATTGTTTGAGCCACGTTATGGGCTACGCTTAGCTACTACCGTACGGTTTATTGGATGAATTTCGCGATGCTTCTTCGTGTTCGCTTTTCACTTTCTTTACCTTTATTTCATTTTTTCTTTCTCACCCTCCCTCACCTTCTTTCACCTCTTTCTATTTTTCTCACACTCTTTCATTTTTGTAACGATTCCACTAAAGCGATTACCATTACTGGGATTCACGTGATCAGTGAAATAAATACGGATTGTCTACACGAGGACATGCTTCAGCATTGAAGCAATACAATTATGCATCCATGTAATATAAAAGTTGGTGTAATACGTATCATTTATTAAAAAATTTTTTGTAAAATGATCGAGAACAATGTACACTCTTGGAACCTATTGCCGCAAACAATATCGAACTTAATTCATGGAAATTACAGTGATAACGACTATTGATATATTATTAAAAGCTATTGTTATTCTAAACAGTTGCTGATACCTCCCTCGTCTATATGTAAATATAATGTCCGAACACAAACTTACGCGCAGAAACTTAATATCTTTCAATCATATCCTAAATGATTATAAAATTTTAAGGTAGCCGAAAATATGTTTAACATTGTTCCGAGTGCGCGCTAACCGAAAGCATAACGGAATCAAAAATGTCACCATCTTGCTTGCTTTTTTCCACTGCATAATTATATTCATAATGCCGAGGCATAACCATGTAGACCGTCCATATTGTAGGAGGAATTGCCAATAACCATATGATTATTAGACTTACGTGGAGAATAGGAGCGTGATCTGGAGCGATCATACCGTGAACGTCGTCGGCTGTAGTAAGGGCTGGGAGAACGGCGATAGCTTCCCCTGTAACTACTTCTGTTGTTCGCGTAAAATAAAAAACAATAAAAAATATTAATTATATGAAGTTAAATAATTGGAATAAGAACACAGTTTAGTAACCTCATACATACTCTCTACGTCTGGGCCCGTCCCACCCCCTGTCATGTAGATGAGTTGGTTTGCCCATATATATTCCTGGGGTGGGAGTATGGGCTCGTTGAGTTATGGAGAAATCAACTCTTATTCGTCGTCCATCGATCTCCATTCCTGTGCATTGCTCCTTGGCTACTTTAGCGTCTTCGGACGAGTCAAAATATACAAAGCAGAATCCTCGTGACCGTCCAGTCTGAAATACTCATACCGGTTAGTATAGTAGCTTTTAGAAATTAGAGTTTCCACTAGTCTTCGATGGGTAAAAGAAAAAATTAGTGTGGCCAGAGGCCTTTAACGTATCGCACAATCTTAATAAACGAACGTTCTAAATCTCTGGCAGTATATACTATTCCCTGCACTGAACAATGTTCATTTGATTCAGTCATTTAAGGGGTTGCTGCAATCTTCTTGCAATCTTGTAGTATAAATTGTTCAAGTTAAAAGTACCTTAGCATCGATGACAACTTGTACACGCCAGACAGGTCCATACTTTGAAAAGATGTCATGGATCTGTTGCTCGGTGGTATAGATAGAAAGACCAAATACTCCCAGGCACCGCGATGGACATGGGTTGTCCCGGTTGCCTACATGCCGCCGTCTCGACGACATGGGGCTACGGGAGTGCGATCGATAAATGTTCCTGTCTCTCTCGCGAGAATAGCGCGAACGAGAGTACGATCGAGACCTGCTCCGGGAGTAACGTCCACGTGGGGAACGGCTTCGGCTGCGACTACTGCCACGATGACCCGGCCCTGCATATTTGCTGCCACGGTACGATTTGCGACCTCGTGATAACGAACGGCTCCGCGATCTCGAGTACTCTTTTCCAGGCCTGTGGCCTTCCTTGCGCTCGCGTGATTTACGCGACCGCGAGCGAGAACGAGATTCTCTAGGACCACCGTCGGCTGTTCGTGGCCTCCTTGGACTCGCGCTGCGACTTCCGCTGCGCTGTTAACAAAACACAAAATATTAATCAGATCACTTTTCTTTGATTACTTTACACTTGGAATTTAATTATGGAAAACAATTTCCTAGGAAAAAAAAGTGAAATGGACTGCAACAATTCTATGCAGAAACGGAACATTACCGACTAGATTAACCTCGTTATGCCGCTCTAAGAATTGTTCAGCATGGACGTGGACGTAGCTAGAAATAAAGGACTTGAAAGAACAGAAAATTATGAAGTAATTCAGGAAGTCGCACGATCAGTTTTACCCCTGAGAAGTTTAAAGAAATAAGAAAGTGGTAAAAAAAATAAACGGTTGACATTGTGGATCAATAGTAGCTTCAAAAGAACGGCTTTGAACGTGTGACTGACGAAACGCGGTTGTAATACAGTGGTATGTCTCTCCTCGCTAGTTTTCAGTAAACATTGAAATAAGGTTTTAATATTAATGAATTCGCTTGTTCTTACCTCGATGTCGCTCATTTTGCATATGTAGCACCTAACGCTATGGTGAGAAAGGTGAAAAACCGGCTGAAAAGACGAAAAAGACGAATCGTGGCGTCACTAAATACTAATGGCGTACTACTCGTGTACCACTCATACGACTCCTTCTACCTTCTGCCCGTTGTAACCGTCCCGAAACACCGACCAACCGCGTTCGACGGAATTGGTATTGTGAGGAAAATGAAAGCTGGTAACATCCGGCGTTGCTAGGTAACGATGCTCGTGATTGGTCGATTACAGGACAACGTAAGGACGGCTTTAAGCTAACTTTACAAGCAACAGCAAAACCTATGAAGATTTGTTTTATTATTGGTCGATGCTTAATTGGAATATTATTGGGGCCAATAGTACGTTGAGATTTAGCAATATTGCAGTTGATATTTTTATGAATAAGAAACGTCTGGCTTTTGTGTTTTAATTTTGAACGGTACTCATTAGATTTGTTGCGTTACCTAACTTTCTGCACTTTTCAAAAAGTGTAAATTCTTATTACTTAGATGATATTTTTAAGTAACCAATGAGGATTTGCCCGTTTTGTAAATGCAGAAAGTATAGGTACCGAGAACAAATTTTGTCATTTGGCAGAAAAGGAGGGAAAGACCATGGAAAAGACGACGCTTAGTTATAGTGTTGAGTTATAGCTGGTGACACAGTCACCGTCGGGACAATGGTTAAGGTTTATACAAGAATTAAAAGAGACACTAATGCATGGAGTAAGGTATGGGTGATTTTAATGATTAAATAGATATGAAAAAAAAATAAGACGGTTTCACAAGGAAAAATAGGATTGCGTCTAATATAAACAAATAAAGAAAAATAGAAAAAAAGAATGTTTAGCTCTGGCTGTAAACGAATGCAGGCCTGCAACAATAGTTAAACTGGATTTTATTTTCAATAATATATATACTTTTTACCTGATGACCTAATGATGTTAAGTATAAAATATCAGGTTTAAGATTAACATTATTGTTAATCTTAGTTAACACAATGAATGATTTATATGAAGAGGACTTTGTAATTGTACAGTTTGATAGAGGTATAACAGAATCTTATCCATCCATTTATTTTTCTGTAATATTGATAAACAGAATATAAGTTCTAAAGTGATTGTATGATTCACAAATGATATCTCCATGGAGTGGTATCAGGTACAGAGTTAAAGAATTATCTATGTCCTTTCAGCAGTTTCAAGATGAACGCTGAGCACCGTGCACGTATTGAAAGCTGTTGTGATGCAGTCATTCATAAGATTAATATGTCAATACTTTGGCCCAAATTACTTCAACGAGAAATCTTTTATCCAGATGATGTAAATATACCAGAATGGACAGTAAGTGATTTTCTTACTTTAGTTTTATCTGTATTAAATTCTTGTAATTCTTTATATTCTGAATAAAATATTCATTTGATTATTTATAATAAATTAATAAATAAAAATTATAAATTATAAATAAATAAATTTATACATATTCAACAAAATTTCAGAATGATCTAGGAAATGAAGATATTAAAAGAAATATATTTCTGAATATTAGGACGAGAGGTCCTAATGCCTTTGTAAATTTATGTGATAGTTTAAGAGAAACTGGACACACTGAGATTGCAACTTTGCTGGAAAATGGGCAAATGGCCTCAGATAAAATTATTTCTAAGTCGCACATCAGCAATGTGCAAGAAGAGGAAGATTTTGAAGAATTGTATGTTAATAATCATTGGTAAATACACAATGTGTATTAGATAAAAAAAATGTTTCAAATTACTTTCAGGCATGACAGATTTTATACAGTTTTGAAAAAAACGAATACACCTCTTCAGGTGAAAGTTAAAAAAGCGACACAATTTTTTGATGATCCAGCAGAAAATCCATTTGTTGCACGATACAGAATGCGTAGTAATCCCCGTGGTTATGCGCTTATTATTGTAAATATTGATTTTGGTAGAAACCAATCTTTCAGAGTTGGTGCTGAACACGATGCAGAAAATACAAAGCAATTGTTTACACAAATGGGGTTTAAAGTGTTTCTTTTTAGGGATTTGAGTGCAAAGGTATTTTGTGTTAATATAACGTTTTTGAATGACGTAAATAATTAAATTTTCAATGTTTTAATTATTTGCTATTGTTTCAGAATATGGAAACACAAATAAAAGAGTTTGCTCAGAAAGATTTCACTCACGTGGATAGCAGTTTTGTAATAATTAGTAGTCATGGTAGTCAATGTACAGATACTGATTTTAACAATACTTTGATAACTGGTACTGATGGTGATAAGATTTCGTGCGACTCTATTATGGAGTTTTTCACAGCATCAGCCTGTCCAACTCTTGCAGGAAAGCCAAAAGTGTTTATCTTTCAAGTTTGCAGGTATATGAAAATGTATAATTCCTTACTCATTTTGAAAAACGCAAATAGAAATACTTATTAATTACAGTAGTATTCGTAAATTTTCTCAGGGGAGAGCAGGTGCAGTGTGCTGTAAAACGAACTGTATCAGATACTCATATGTCAGACTATCCAAATTGGATAAGCTTTCCAAAACAAACTATACGAAACTATGATGATATGTTTGAAGTGTATTCCACATTATCTGGTTTTGTATCTCTTCGTGATACTGTAAATGGTAGCTGGTACATACAGGTTCTCTGTGAAGTTTTTATGAACCATGCTCATTCGAGACACATCTTAGATTTACTTCATGAGGTATAATAAAGTTAATTTTATTTCAATTTACTGTCAGAAATGAAGTAATCAAATGATTGTCAAGGGGGATATCTGTATATTTTTTATACTTGTAGGTTGAAAGTCGTTTAGCCACTTTGCGTACTAATATCAATATCTGTCAAACAGCAGTGGTAACTTTGAAGGGAATCACAAAACATTGTTATCTACATCCTGGTCTCTTTGAGGATGATCAAGCTAAGTCCTAAGACTCTTCCCTTATTATCGTATATTCTACAACTTTTATATGATATATACATTTTTTATGGATATATAGTTCATCAGTATAATGATTATAACTTTTATGTAATTAAAACAAATACTGCCACGTAGTCTTACCTTTTATTGCATATCTACAATAAAGTAAATGAAATAAAAGATAATTATCGGTGAGTTCCAAGGTTAAGGCACAAAAGAATTCATTATTATTCCAGATAAAAGAGACAGATATGAAAATAAAAAACTTATATTTAACAAAAATTGCTATCTCCAATATCTTGAAATAGATATTTTCACAAAGGTTCATTGTTCGAGAATGAATTCTCTACACGATTACAATTCTAGTCTTTTTTTTTCCTTATCTCTGTTAAAAGGTAGTTGGTGTAATCGTAGAATGACCTAATCGTTCACAAGCTAGTAATCATGGATAAAATAAGTCCAGTTTCCAGAAATAAAGAGAAAAAGAAAGCGAATAAATAATAAAATAAAACTTTCGTTATTTCTTTCTCTGAACAAAAAAACTAATTACGCCGATAACTCGTGCGACAAGTGACATGTGGTTATGAACGCAACGTATGGTGATGAATGTTTTCAATTTTTCATGAAGCCCTCAAGCAAACAGCTTTTATCAAAATAAAAAATAAAGTATTATGCACCATCGATTACTATCTTGTAACGGATTTAAGTTATCGTGGAAATGTGGAAGAAATCTCATAGTTCCAAATTACTCAAGGACATCAATGTTTTACGAGTTAACAGACATGACGCATGCAGTCGGCAGTATATCGAATCGTAAGATTTTTTGAAATTTCCATTGGTCGTTCAAGCAAAAAATTGTGTAATACTTAACGAATTACCAGAAGTCAAGATTGATAATCGCTGTTATTGACAGAAATTCGGATCTTGGACCACATAGTGAGTCAGCAAAGAGAATTATTCTAAATAATCCTCCGTACGATATAGCAGCGTCGTTCAGCTTGTAACGTTACAAAATTCTTGTAATCAGAAATTGCCAGATGCGTTAATACATCTTACGAAATAAAAGTGAGATTAGTCATCGGTCATCAATTCAGTAACCGCAAACCGTTAAGTAGAGTAGTAAAACCGTGTAGATCCAACCTTAGACTAAAAAAAAAAGAAGTCGCAAGAAAAGTGATTGTCATTATTTGGGTTGTACAGCTATAAACGGTTGGTGGTAATGGCTTCCAAAGTTGTAAACATTGCTTACCACTCAACGATGACTCTGAGTGTTTATACGTTTAACGCACGAAGCCTGAAAAGGTATTCTGTTATGTTACGTTTTACACGTTGTACAGAATCTGCTACTGAGTCTATAATGTAGGTGTGCATACCTATACGCATATATCTATATAGAGTCGCGTGACCGATTTAAGGTTTCAACGTTTCAAGCGTTCCACGCTCAGTTTCCACTCTCACCTTGTTCGTGTAAGGTTGTACGCTGTTAGGTTATGTTCTAGTGTTATTGTTGCTGTATCGAATCTCTCTGTATTATCTTGTTTGTTACGCAGTAGCGGAGGAGTTTGTTCGTCAAAGGTTATGATAATTTTGTCTCCTGTAGATTGAAGTGCAGCAAAGTATGAGCTCATTTGCAAAAATTATGAACATACGCCTATTAAAATCTCGCATGACACACACGAGATTAACTGAATAATGTTTCAACGTTTTGATGTGTTGTAATGAACGCATGCGGTTAACCTTGAACATAGTGTTAACTTTTACGCATTTTTCTGTTAAAATCATAGATTTAGTGAAAACGAAAAAAGTTTTAAATACTGCGACGTTAATCAAATTCATATTACATCCCACCTGCGTACTTCCTGGCTTGGTAGTTTTCGTTTCGCGTTAGACGCAGTTGAAATCGCTTACGATCTTGAATCTCCTATTTAAAGAAATTCTAATGCAGCCTTCATATAGAATTTCGTAACGCACGTAAGTCACGATCGGCTATATACTCGACAGTTGCGTAATTCACATTGGCGATTTGTCATTAGTGTTCATAAATATGCATGTCGTATTGTGTTCAAGTTAAACATAGATGATCCGAAATTGCCGCTCGAATTGAGTATGTATGTACAAGCAGAATTGGCGGATGTTCTAGAAAATTTTGTAAAGGAAAAAACATTTGTGATAGGTTCTTGTATTAAATATCGAAACTTCTTCTTGCTTACTATAGGATTTGATACATTGTTATGAGTGTTGGATTATCAACGTACGATGGATTGGAGAAAGAGGCTACTACTGATAGCAACACCTTGGAGGGAAGCACTGGCGCCACTAAGAAGCTTGCAAGGGGTATCTCGAGGGCTACTGAGAATGCAGCTATTGTATCTCATGCCCGTTCTCAATTGGTTCCAATTGGACCTATAGATACTCCCGAGTTTACCTTTTCTTTACCGGACCTCTCTATTTACCCAGGTAAGCGATGAGAGTATGCGAAAGAAAGTCTGAAGGACAATATACCTATTTATGAAGGATCTATTTTGGTACAGATTCATTTCGTCACTTTTTGGAGAAAGATTTGATAGAGGGTGGCTGTTTGGCATCTTTAGAAGCGGCTGGAAGGTTGAATTGGTGGTGTGGTGGTCGGAATGGGAGTCTCAGAGTTTTGTGGCCGTTGGCCACTTCAGGGGATGGAAATTGTCTTCTTCATGCAGCTTCTTTAGGCATGTGGGGCTTTCACGATCGGTTGCTTACGTTGCGGGAAGCTTTACACACAACTTTATCCAAAGGAGAATATAGGCATGCCTTGTTCAGGTATGGGTGTCATTTATATTAAAATTTTAATCTGAATTAAGCCGGGTTTGCAAGACGACAAATTGCTAAACAGGAGATGGAAATGGAGACAAATGGGACTTAACGCCGCAGCCGGTTTAGCTTATACGGAGGCTGAGTGGTCTTCGGAATGGCAGACTATCGTCGAAATGGCATCAGCAAATCCTCGAAATCAAACTGTCAATTCTTACCAGAGTCTTGAAGAGGTATGATTAGGTCTTGTATGGGTTCACCCTTTTTAAAGGATTTTAATATGATTTCTTTAAATGTTGTTAGGTACACGTTCTGGCTTTGGCTCACGTTTTGCGTCGGCCTATTATTGTAATAGCGGAAACTATGCTGCGAGATTCGGATGGAGTGGCTTTGGCTCCTATACCGTTTGGAGGCGTTTATCTACCTTTGGAAGTACCACCAGCTCGGTGTCATCGCACTCCTCTTCTCTTGGCTTATCATTCAGCCCATTTTTCACCCTTGGTTACCGTAGACGGAAGTGCTGATCTTGCAGATGGGAATGGTGAAGGTGTCAGCATCCCTGTAGTTGATCCAGACACTGGACAATTGCTACCAGTTTTATTCGCCGTCGATCCTGGTCCAGATTGGGATTGGAGCGTTACTTCCCAGGATTTGCTTCCATGCCAACAGGATACAGTACGTAATTTCCTCAATTTCTCCATCTCCACTCAAGCAAAGAGCATCAGTCGATCATCACATCCTAATGATTTTCACAGATGGAAATTCTTGTACGCGAATATCTCGATTGCGAGTATCAGGTTCTCACTGAGGAAATTGACAGACTTTCCGATACGGATGGTGCTTCATCTAACAAGAGCAAAGCAGCTAAACAACTACTGGGCGTAGCGAAGCAATTCGGATCTATTGGGAAATCTGTTAGTAGGAGATTATGGTCCATTACTAAAAGGCCAAAGAGTCCACCCTCATCATCCTCCGGTGTGTCAGCAGAAGGCTTGCTGTGCGTGCGAATCAGAAGCAGGCGTCATCAGTATGTCGATCAAATGTTGCAGAATTATCTTCAATGTGCTCACGCTAGGTGAGTCTCACAATCGTCAAATTACGCAGATCGAATATTTAAGGGATAAAAAGATAACGCATGTTCCTTTTTTTGTAACAGGTATTTGCAGGATCAACAAGCTGATCAGACGGGTAGTGAGATGAACTATGGGGCTGGAAAATCAAAGTTTTACGCCGCCAGTGATAGTGGAACTTATGCAAGTGTGAGCAAGCTGTTGCCCACCAATCCGAACAAGGATCGTACTCTCTACCTCTCTAGGTATTAATAAATTTTAGTCTAAGAAACATAAAGTTGTCGAATTATCACTAAATTCTCATCCATATTAATTATTGATTACAGATCCACTTTCTATAACGATCAACCACCGTCCGATGGATCGCCGGCAGAACTCTGGAAGAATAGCGGCAGTATCGGGGTAGGTGATTCAGTGATATTAAGTGATTCCAGGTGACTTTACGTGATTTTGTGTGAATCTCGTTAACTGTCTAATTATCTGACATGGATGCGGAAGAACTTTGCGATGGCGAAATGTCTCTACCTACAGGAAATCGTGAAGGAGTGTCGCAGCGAAAACTGTCAGTTCTTTGGCGCACCGGAGAATCAATACTACTGCTCGCAATGCTGGACGAACAGACGATACCGCTGAGCCGCATCGAATCTTCCATGACAATAATCTTCTACACGTTAACAATAATTCATAAGATAATCGATACAATGCATACAAATTGTCCTAGCAAAATAAGCAGGAGCTCCTGAAACTATTGACCGCTCGCTGCATATCTTTTTTTTCAACTTTTACAATCAGTACCTCCTTCGGACTCTCTTCTCTTCGATTTATCTTTTGCATTACATATCTTTATTTATTAACGTCTTTAATTCTCTCGGTAGCATATCAAGCATACAGAGTTCGTAAAAAATGCTCCATTGATGCACCTATCATTATTAACCACTCTGCTGTGTTACGTCACGAAATTAAATTTCGTACGAGAGATTATAGATTATATTTTCGGATGAATTCTTTTTTTTTTATAGAATGAAAAAGTTGCGGGTATACTGATTCATGAACGTACCTCATATCTAAATACATATATTAATACATATATATATATATGTATGTATATATGTAAGTCTTACCGAGTACGTTGATATGTGCCTTGTGCCGCGCGAGTGATAAAAGAAAGTGTTCAAATTATCGAATTACGATAAAGGACTCGATCGTTATTTCTCATTTTCATTTACTGTAACATTAATGAATTTTAATTTAAACGATGTCGAGCTCTTCACACACAAGTTAACGTAACGACGTAGGCCGTATGCGTAAGGAAACCAACCAATCAGAATCAAGTACTTCCCCCTCCAAGGGGACAATATTAAATTCCGATTGGTTGGTTTCCTTACGCGTACCTCTTAAGTCGTTACGTTATTTTCTGTGTGAAGGGCTTTACCGCGAAACATTAATGCTCTGTCTTTTTTTGTGTTACTGCTGCTCGTTTCTCTCATATACGCGAAGTCCATCGCGACTACCCACCGAATTTTTTAGTTTTTCTTTTTTTGATTTTTCCTTTGGCCCACGAAAAAGTGGGCGAGAAGTCAAGAAGCTATCTCAACTTTCCCTTATATTATGGCTCTTCGAAGCAACGATCTTTTTACGAGTGCAGTTCGTTCTTATATCCATATTGATATGCATAAAAAATAAACTTGTTCTCCGACTAATCGACGCTCTCGTTGAGATCGATTGCTTTTCATGTAAAACTTACTGTGTGCAAGAATAAAAGAATATTTTTATATAGTATCCTGAGAGTCCGTGATCCATGATTGATATGAAATATCTATAGTTCATATGCTATAGTTCGTTATCAACTCCTCCGTTATCACTTCCATTTCTTTCCTATCTCGGTCCTTCCTCAATGGCCATACTGGATCTTTCCGTGTTCACTCAATTATTCATAGTCGTACCTTCGATACATATATGATAACACCATTATTGGCAGTATTCCGCAATAGGATGGAAAATGTCCCAAGGGACGTCCAGCGTTGGACCAATGGGTCTGCTTCCTACTATATCACCTGGAAATACTTTCTGGTCTCTTGTGGAAAAATCTTATTTTTCTATCTTGTTTTTTTTTTCCTTTTTATTGACGACAGTAACGGTCTCCTTGTATGTCCTGCGAGGAACAGCAGGCAGTCGTTATTCGAACGCCACAAAGAACAGGGGGAACGTGCACATTTAACTCTTTTGCAAGGGGAGATAATTGCGGCTCGTTAGCGAGATTTCTTGATGGAGAGTTGGCGAGGGTGCGGGACGGAAGTCCGGGTGATATAGAGACAGTTTATAGGGTAGGAGGAAGTAAAGAGAGAGAGAGAGAGAGAGAGACTAAGAGTAAGCACGCAAAAGGTTGCCGACTTGTTAAAATCGCCACGAGAAGGAAGCCCAGTCCTGGCAGGCACGCCTTTGCCAGCCGTTAATATTAATTTCGTGAAATTAAACGCGCCGTTTATTAATTTTTACCAAGTTTTCTTTACTGGCGTCGCTTTGTGCTCAGCGAGAGGGCTGCCCGGATATTACGTCGAAAATGGGATTAGCAACGACCAATTTTCTGGCTCGTTTCGACGTAGTATACTCGTAGCTTTGCGTTGCTGAATGTTAGATAGACTAGCCGGGCGAATTTACTTGGATTAATAATAATAGGACGCGAGTTCGCATTATGCTATCAGATTCCACGTGTAGCTTTCTCTACTTGTATTCAAAGTTTAAGGGCGATGCTGCGCCTGGACCAATGTGCCGAAAATCCTATGCTCTTGTAATAACTCTCTGTTCAACAAAATCCATGGTATTAATAGCCTGATGAATTTCCTACAGATCCTTTCATCCTTACCCGTCCTCCTGCTAGAGGGAAGCTCGATATTGTAATTTATGGACATGGGAGTCGCTGTGCACCACGTCAGAAGTTTTTGTGCCCTGGAGGATTCCTTAACCATAGCCAGGAAGTGTGGAAAATTTCCTCCTCGTAATTTCATCTCAACGAAAAATTAGTCAAGCATTATCAGAATCCGGACGTCCTTTTGCAACAACTTATGCGCAGGAGGGTTACGCCCTGGCGCGGCACCAGGTAACTTTACGGTTTGAAAGTTCATCGATTTGCCCATTTTCCTTGCAAGATAGACGTATGTTCTATATCATAGTCTCCTACTATCCTAGTCCCCCAGTCTCCTAGAGATGGGTCTGGGGGGTTGTAATTTGCGGCTTGTAATACCGAGTCCGCCGTTTGTAACCTGGGTTGGCCTCACGTCGAGGAGGGTTTTCATAGAATGGCTGGATGGCTGGCTGGCCAGACACTGGTATCCACATTCACTAGACACCCTAGAGAAGTAACTATGTAACCGCGCTGTCTCATTGAGGGGATATGCCGTTTTGTTCCATTACGTTCTGTTTCCACCTCCAAGGACAAAACGATGTGCGGTACACCATCAAAATGTCCTAGATCCTTTTAAGGGTGGCTGCTATCTTCCCACCCTTGTCGCACTTACTTGAACTCCTGGCTGGTGAAAATGGAACTTGGGATTGGGTTGAAAATAGAATGTTGGTATGGACTCTGGATTTTTCGCGGGTGGTACGATGGCCACGTGCCGCCTCCGTTTGCGATAATAAATAGATTTTCAAAGTACTGAAAAAGGAATTCAGGGCTGGAATTGCGGATTCGAATGAAATTTTACCTTTCGCTTTTGGCACGCTCGATTTAGCCGGGAGGCGAGACGCGAACGTAAGGGGCATACATTTTGCACGGGTCATAAGGTTACCGTATGAGAGCGAGAGAAGGCGAGCCGAGTTTCTTCGTAGGGGTTACTGCACTGCAGGGACAAGTTATCTCATCCTCTCCTTCTGGAATTCATTGCTGCAACCATTCCATAGGAATTCCTAAGCAAACGGCTGCTCTCCGAGCCCTTCGTAAATTCGTATCTCTCGGCGAGAACCAATCCGAACTGAAGGGCGAACCTACTGTAGCATACTGTGAGATAGATAGAGAGAGAGAGAGATCGATGCTATTTGAAGAGAAAGAGAGAAACGCTGCTGCAGTAAACTCCCACAACTCCAGCTAGTGCGGCAAGGAAATTCATTTGTGTTTCCTGTCAACTTCATTATTGCCGGGAAATAAATTCAAGTCCCGAGTGAAAAAAAGAAACGTCCGGCACATTCGCGGACGGTACTGGTAGAAAATAAAGAAGTGCCAGGAAAAATTGGGTTTGGGGATGAGTGCACAAAAAGAGAACGCTGCTTTATGAAAGCATCTTTCCACCATTTCTACCATTTCCAAGCCCTCGCTCCCCAGACTTCCTTGGGTAAGGACAAGACTTTATCCGGTACTGTCGCATCGGGACCAACCAATCGGCTGAAGAATTTCATTAATGGAGACTAAATTCCTTGGGGAACTATTGTCTCGTTTAAGGAACAAACGCAGCGACGTTTAATCGGAAATCAAACCGTGTTCATGACATCATTTAGGTTATAGATAATACGCAATGTCTTTAATTTTTTATTCTTGTTATTCGCTTTGATATATTTTTTTTCTTATTTTTAAAATATCTTATCACCTGTCAATTTTGGATTATTAGTGTACTTGTACTTTTAGACTAAAAATTGAATGCTCTTTTGATTTTCAGAAGAAAAATTGCATTGTCCCATTGAAAAAATTAAATTTCACTTCCGAATTACCTTAACTCCTGCCCAGGAAGCAATCTAATAACCGAATCTTCCGTTCCCCTTGAAAACCTACAACTTCTGTCTGAAACATTTTTCTATATCTGGCTTCGTCTCCGAAAAAATCCACCTGGTCATTATAAATGCCCCACCCCGTATACAGACGTTTAATACAGGTCTAGTATTAATCTTTAGTGAATAGTATATTGGATTTTTTGTAAAAGCCGAATGGCAGTATTGCTGAAAATAGGACGAAGGGACTATCGTGTTATCCCCGTTATCGTTCATGTATTATTGTTTTTATTTCTCGCCGAGGCTATTTCGCATTTTCCTCTCTCGCCGAGCGATCAAATCGGGGAGCCTCCGATAATCCGGATAATGTGATTGTGTCCCGAAGCTGGGAATCGATAATATTGGGACGAAGCCAGTACGGTGCTTGACAATTGGCGGCATGGCAATGATTTCCGATAAGAGCGAGGGAGAGGGTAAATTTCGAGGATCACGGGTGTGGGAAATAGAAAGAGAACGGCGTCAATGCTAAATAGAGATCACGCCGTTGCGGTTGGCCGTACACGGATTGCATTCTTTCATCAATTTATCTTTTCAACCAATAATTTTCCAGATCATCCACGATACTCGCCGTCTCTTTCGCACTTGGCCAGGCCGGATGTTGCCATTGCAGCTGAAAATGATAAAAGAGCGAGAAAAATATAGGAGCAGAGTAGACGAAGAATAAGGAAAAAATAAAAGGATAGTCCCTGCTAATAACGAATGGCGTCCGCCTGTGGTTACCCGAGCCATTCGGAAGCGTCTCTAATAAAGTAATAAAGCTACGTTCACCCCGCATCTTGATCGAGAGAGGGTGAGTTTTATTGCGAGGACGTCGACGTCAACGAGAGTGTTCAAGTTTTCTCAGCGTCGAGCCGGAAGATCCACGGAAAAGAGCCCTGTGGAATGGGAGGAAGGGAAATGGTTTGTATAAAAAAAATTTTCTCATTGTAGTTGGCGAGGCACATAGGCAAACAAGGATCGTGTCACGTAACTTGCATTCACGCATAACGACAGTAACACGACTTCCTCTTTCGCCTTGTTTTAATCCTGTACCCTTTAACCTATCTCTTGTTATCCTTGTCAGCAGAAGACATTCTACTCGATACACCATGCAGATAGTAGCTGTCAGCCTGAAAAGTTTATGAATAATTATTAAGGGCTGAAACATGAAAAATTACTCAAAAGAAACTTTTGGATTTGAATTGGTAAGTTTCACGCGCATGCGCACAGTGCGTTCAAAGTTTTTTTCTCTGTGTTAAGAATTTTTTCACCATCCGGTAAGTTTAAAAACAATTTTGCTTCTATTTCATTCTTTTACCTTCGTCTCAGCTTCTATATCTTTTCAGGTCCTCCTTCGGTTCCGCTTCCGGTTAGAACTGTGGAAACTACCGGATCTCATAATACACAAGCGCTGTTGGCCGAATGAAATTTTAATTCTTGATAAGGCACCAGACGTCGGGACGCTGGGCGTTCTCCTTTAGCCGCACAACTGGGACCGCGATATTAAATATCACCAGCAGTGTGTAAGGGAGACTGAAAGGGCAGAGGAGCTCAGCCAAGCGAGTCGTGTGAGCCATGTGAGATATGAGGAGTCGTTTAGTTTTGCAATATGGATAGCTATACCGTGTTATAGTAATATAAGAGCGATTCTGCGAATTGCCCTTTGGCCGATAACTGAAAGGGATGCTTACCGGTAGCGTAGTACCTATTTGTATTTCTACTCTGTAAGGGTAATATGGTACCCCTAGTAATTACACTAGACATATTAAGAATTACTCTTAAGCACAGCTGTCGCATGATGCTTTCATGGAAAAGTGGACTCTGGTCAGTAAACCCATATGAGGGCTTTTAGGTTACGTATTCTACCTTGTATGCTCCATGTAGAATATCGAACGATAGGAGCCAGGGTTGCGTTACATCATGTGTGAAATTACAATCATCCTCTAATGCATTCAGGTTCGTTCGATATATCTATGGGTAGATATAACCAGCATTATACTTGATATATAACGTAGCTGCGAAAAGGCTCTTATAATCTTGAGCATCCGTTTCTATCGGTTAACTATAGGAACCGGATGATCGATTCCACTGCGGAATGAACCCTGCTCAGGGATTCCAGATTGTCTTGGAAATTCTGAGGATCTTTCATAGTAATATCAGCGAAAACGAATGCTAGTCTTATATCTTACTTTCTTATCTTCCCTGTTTACTAGATTGAGAGCGAATAACCGAGAGAGAGCGAGATGGGGTGAAAGAGAGAACACGTTGAGGGGTTGCGCAGTAAGTAGGTCGCGATTCCCAGAGAGCCAGCCTGCAATTATAACGAACTGTTTGCACGGGGATGAAATTTTATTCGTTTTCCGTGTTGCGAACGAGGAAAGAGAAGAGGGTGAGTCGAGGGGTGAATTCTATGAATTCTATGCGATTACCATCGACGCCCCTCGATGCTGTACGTACATAGCACGACCAAGGTATAAGGTTATCCATGCCGTTTACTATAGCTGGGAAAATGTAAAGGTGGATTAAAAGAGGGCGAGCGTCGGGGGGTACGAGAGAAATGATGCTGGCAATAGGGAGGCAGGTGCATGCTAAATAAAACTAGCAAATATGAGAAACGCATGAGACTCGAGGGATACGCATAATTTTCGCGAATATTCCTACACTTTATGTGTAGCGGCTTACACGGTATAGAGAAAAGGTTAATAAACCAGTGGATCCCTCGTGAGATATGATTCTTCCTTCTGTTTCAGTTTTCGAATTATTCTCAATCTTTTTTAATTTTAATTGCAAGAGGTGAAGGGTGTCATTCAGCGGATTCTGTGAAACATGGTGTGTCATTTATTAGGATTCTGTGGGAATTCATTCCAAGGTTTTTAGTGTGTACGATGCTTCGTGTGACTAGATGAAATATTTGGTACGACTTTTGTAGTGTTATATGGACAAACTGAAAAAGACCTTGGCGGCAACAGTAGTTGAGAAGGAGCATCTTTGCTTTATTAGAAAATAAATGAAAGCAGAATAAGGTAGATTGTCGTGGAAAAGCGCTGGATAATTACAAAAAACTAAGGGATCATTATAGTCGAGTGGTTGTAGTCTGGGTATTTTTTTTCACTTGTTTGTGTATCATTTTCGCTAGTGCAGGGGGCCGGACCCAATGGACGTCTGAGTGGTCATTGTAAGCTCAGCCTTTCAGCAGTAGAGAGGCATCGTAGATGTAGACTGTCGATTCGTTGAAATCCCTGGCGCTTGATTGTTCTTCCTGTTTCTTAAATTTTTCCTTTTATTTTTCAGCATGGAGGATTCTTGATCATAGTTCATCGGTATGGCGCGGGGAAGGTTATTCACGGAGGATAGAAGGAATGACAATGAAAAAAATATGCAGAAAACAGGAATACTTCAGCTTGGCCAGTAGGCTGGTACGATTGCGTCTAGTTCAAAATTGACGAAACTTTGTTCGAGCTGAATTGTTTGATCGACTAGCTTTATTCGCGAGAATTAAAACGTCCTTGTTAATAATACGCTGAGTCGTGCGAAATTATCGTGTGGTTGATATGGTATGAGTCCATTAAGGGTGGCAGAATAAGTATAAAGAGGAATTACACGCCACTCGTGGAAAGTTGTGCTAGTAGCATCGATTTTCACGGGTTAATTTCGTCAGGGCTTTCGTTTCCCTCATTGGATTTCCCTGCGGCGGCCGTGCGTCGAGAATCAGTCGTCAGGCTCTGGGCGAAGCTTCTGAAGATGCGCGACGCCTGCCCTGAGGAATAGGACTCGGGTTTTCTCAGTTTGCGGGAGCCTCAGGACTTTCCAAGATTTCATTAGATTTTCGGAGGAAGGACAGTAGTTTCGCCGGGATGGGCGAAGTTGTATTGATTTTTGTACCGTTGTCGCCGGAGTGTGCCGCCACGACCCTACGATTCGCTTTTGTAGCCTCCCTTTCCTCTCGCAGCTTTACTCACTCACCCGACCTCGCTCCCTCATCGCCCTCACCCTTAACAACTACCTCGCTTGCACCCTTACTGTCTCACTCACTCCTTGGCACAACTTCTCACGCTTCGTCGGTGCCTCCATTGGTATCCGGCCTCCCATTGTCCATTAACCATTAACGACTATTTCATTATCAGTGATGCGGTTCGCGACTCTCGACACGCGAATTTGCGACTCGATGTTTTGACGTTTTTTTTAATATTAATTTTCTGCGCTTACACCCTCAGTGAATGCACTCATAATGCATAAGTAATTAATAGGTATATAAGGGTAGAGCGAAATAGTGGAATTCAGGGGTACCAGCAGAATGAGTAAGAAGTATCCTTTACCTATGGTGACTAATCATAGATATGTAATAGTAAAGAAAGTCTTGAGTCTGACACAATGCGGACCTTCTCTCCTTGGGTAATTCTAAGGGGAGAAAAGTTGTGGCGCACTGACTAGTTCCCCAGACAGGAAGAAGTTTCTAGTAGGTACGAGGTTAGCATAAGATATGAGAAGGTAAAACCAGGGAGCCAAAAAGCCTTTGTTCGGCCCTGGAACACTGCGGACGAGTGGAGGGGCTGCTTGGGGTTGCTCGGACTCGTGGCGCGATGGTGGCGTCGGTCTTCGACGTATCAGCGCTGCGACGACCTCTTCGCGAACTAGACGCGTTTTCCCTCTAACCTTATCCTGCGCTGCGTGCTCCGTGCAGTAAGACGAGACTTTCGCCGTTTTTTCATTCACATTAACGCGATTTTGTGTCGAGGATTTCAAACGGCCTCGTCGGCTTCCTGGACTCCTTCGTAGCGACGAAGGCTCTCCGTGTGTGATATTGTGCTGGACACGTGCGCAAGGCTACTTCTCGACGTGGGATACAGGGAGAACGATCAGTCGCCAATCTCACGCTTTCATGGTGAATCAATTATTAGTATTATTATCATTTATCATTAATCTTACAAATGTTCTGTTCTCTACTGACACGCTCACTGATATTTGCTCTTATAATACTATAGGGTTCATTCATAATTTTAGAGAATTTTCTGTCGAGAGACCGTATGGGAATTCGGATTAGTTATTCTGTTAAAATAATCATTCGAATGTCAAATATTTTATGTGGGACATTTAAAAAATAGTTATTTCATTACTTACAATAAATTCTATTTACATTTGAAGCACGTGCTTTTAAAAGGAATATTGCTTAAGATACCGTTCTTAATGTAATAGATTTTTTATCGTGTTGTCATGATTTCGAAATTTATTTCAAATTTTACAGCGAGACTTGGTATAGTCATTTTCATAGTGACAGGTCGATACGCACAGGTTTTCGCAACCATTGTTATCTATAGTACACTACGTTACCAGTGAGCGTATAATTTTATCGGAGAAGCAATGAAAGAGAAGTAAAAAGAATGTAATAATGGAAGAAAGAAAAAAAAATTATAAAACAAGGTAAACGTAAGAGGAAAGAAGGATCTTTGTGATTCCAGCTAGAGAAGATCAAAGCACTGAATTCTCTTGTATAGGGATTTTTCCTGGAAGCAAAAGCGAATTGCAATGAATCGGGTTTTTCACATTTTCCAACGTTTCCCCACGTGTTCCCGAGATTTTCAATATTTTTCATAAATTTCCTTTGTCTTCGAGATAAAAAGCTTGCGGTATTTATGCGACGTTCGTATTACAACGAGATGGATCCAAGGGTTCCTAAGGACTGCAAAGGGGTAGCGTAGGGGGTGGTCTCGTTGGATAAGGGGTGGTCAGAGGGTGCTCGGGGGGTGGATACGGATCCAGAACGTGACTTGGGTGCAATATTTAAAAGCTTCACGACGTCAATACTCTTCGCGACATCCTTACGCACTGGTCTTTTCTTTCGACCTAAACCTCAACCTTCCAACCTTCAATCCATGATCCATCAGCCACCCGCGATTCCCAATACTTTATGTAATACTTGCGTTAAAAGTTTCGTTACTTTTGTTCCGCTTTGCACCAGCCGCTCGCTTCCCTTAACCTTATCCCAAGTAGAGCACAGAGAAGGGGCAAGAGTCTTGAAAAACGGACAGGTTATCATAGCAGAAAGATATGACAAAGGAGTCTGGTAATGAGAAAGTTTTGGAGAATGTACAAAGTTATGGCAATTATAACAGAGGTCGGTATGCCGGATACCGGGAGCTACAAAGTACCTCTGGAGTCATCGAAACGTGAAATGAAATCCGGGCAAAGTTAATCGTACGATAAAATACAATAAATTCTGTTATTTCGTTTCAGAGGCGAATATCGTTGAAGTCTGTTTCAGCTTGATGTTCCGTAACTCTTCTCCAACATAAATCAACGTCCGACTCGCTCTTGTTCTGTTTTACGCTATGTTACCTCAGTGCTGCCACCTACCACACCGACAAACTTTCCCAAACCCCCTCGGCAACGCAATAGGATTTTCTGCAGGACTTAACGAATCTAGAAAAAGTTCCATTACACGAAGGGATGCACACGCGTTCTACATTCGTATGAGAAACGTTATTACATATATATAAGCGATGACTTTTATATCCTTACGATGAATCACTGGGGTTTATTAAATATGTTATAAGTAAATAGTAATTACGTATATGATGCTAATTATCGAAGTTTTATACTTCGCGCTGTTGCAGCAGGTTAAGCAATCTCATGTTTTCGTAGTGGCTGAATTAAGCTGCGACGACCTTCTAACAAGCAAAGTTTTATTCCCTAGGATTCGCAAGGTTTGCTTAGTGTGCTACCGGTTGCTACATTGTGATACAGCCTTTACGTTTAACGGGCGTATCCATTCGGTTGGAAAGGTCTGGAAAATAAAGGAACGTCTGTCGAGTGTGCTCTGATATAATTAGTTGCCGTTAGGATAAATATTTTATCCACTTTCGGAAGCCCCTGGCAGGGTTGATTTTGCGTTACCGAAACGGGAACGTACGTATAAGCAAAGTATAGCGCAATAGGGTGTAACATAGGAAGAGAATCCCTTTTCCGGGTGGAAGCGAGCGTTGATTTATAGCCACGGAGCGAAACTTGCCTTCTTGGAATTTGCGAAATTTAGAGCTTAGCCCCGACAAACGGGGGCAAACGGGGTGAGAGGTGCTAAAATGTTAACACCTTGGCCCGACCTTAGTACACCGCTACGCCATGACACCACTACAGCCTACAGTCTATACAGAAGCAACCCTAGCTAAGCTTCCCCTCGAAGGACCCCACCACTACCCTCATTTTCTCCGGAAGTCACTAGGAAACCGACCTAACAATTTACTTTTTATTTTCGTTCTCACAATTCTTTACAGAGAGACGCCACGCGCCGGGGGGGCGTCTCTGATTATTTTATTTTTCTCAAAAAATAATTATTTAAGTTCATTCAATAGTCTACGATCGCTTATCTCTTTCTCTGTGATTTTCACCATTCGATGTGGAAGGTAGTGGGCCCTTCGAGTTTTTCGTCTTTTCTATACCAGACGTGAGTGGGAGAGAGACCGTCTTATGCGTAATTGCACGTGTTAGACAGAGACGGCGATAGGCTCTCGTCGAATTTTCTGACCATCGTTCCCTCTCTGACGTGGTCTTATCAGAAGTAACTGCAGTCAGAGTATCAAGTAAGAATGATATAACGTGGCTTAAAATGAAACGTAAATATTGTTAAATTCTTACCTAGTGCGAACTGTTGAAATTTAATAGTAAAAGAGAAAAAGAGAGGTCACGAAGGACAAGAAACTCTACAGCGACGTTCGCAGTGTCGACTCTTTCAATTTTAAATCAGTCACCACTCCGGCACGAGCGCCGCGAAACCACCTCGTCGAGTTTCAAATGTAATATTTAACTGTAGCTTCATACATACATAGCCGGTATTTCTTGGTGGTCCCAGGCTGGGCAAGTATCGGAACATTCTTCTACGGCGCTACGGAGATCAGGATCGTTTACTTTATATCGTACAGACTGATAGACTCCGAGAGTGACGTCAGCCGTGTCTATTGTTACGATCCTATAAAGCCAAACGATCCCACCTACGTGCTACTGATTAATTTGCTAAACGATCGGGGAAACAGAGCGTGCTGCTCGTCTTGGCGCCTGTTGGTATTATATCGAGACGAAGGATTCCGTTTGGCTTGCGTGTTGCGCAAAATCCTCGTAACCTCGTAACGATGAAATAAAAATAAATAATCCGACATCAGTCCGTGGTATCTCGACCCCTGAATATACGTAGGGTAACCCAGAAGAATGGAAAGGAGAAAAGGATAATTTCCACTGTTTTTTTTTCCTTTCACTTTTATTCCTCCTTCTCTCTTTCCTGCTTATCGTCTCCTTCCTTCCTTTTCTGTTTTTCCGTCTTCTTTCTCCCTTTTCACTGCACGCATTGCGTGTCCCACGGACGATCGTTTATTTTCATTGCTACGGGTCTGGAGAAGAGACGCGCACTTTGCTCCCTCGCTAAGGCTCCGATCCACCTTTAGAAATTGGCTGAAGGGATCAGCGGTACTGGCAGAATTCTCTTGAGAAGCAACGATAGCTTTCGGTTGTTGGATCGACGTTTGGATCTTTTATGAATTCATACGTATCATTCGGTTGGAATTCCTCGTTCGCTTATGTATTAATAAATCCCGAGGTCGTCGATGCCATATGCGTACGTAAGCGCTAATGCCGTAGTGCGTTAGAGTCGTCGCGTACGTCACGTCGTTCCTAGTCTACCGGGAGGAATGAAATATTTATTTGAATGTGACGTAATTACGCATAGCACCCACGGGCCACGTTACCCACTTCGTAAGGGACTTGCGTTCCACGTAAAATTGTCTGGATACCCAAAAATTCCTAGAGAATATTTCGAATTACCGGAATTCCCATTTTCAATGGTAAATCGAATACGGACTTTTACGGAACTACATTTTTGTTAATCGACCTGCACTAGAATCATCAACAGTCTCATACGTATATCGCCGTGAATTAGCGTCAGAATATTTGGGAATTAAAAATCTTTATACGTCTGACTGTTAAAGGCGTTGATCGGTACACGAAATGTCTGTATACAGGTCAAAGGTCAGTCGGTCGGTTCATACACGAAGCTAATGACGTTAGCTCGTATTCGTTAGTGACAAAGGCAAGAATCTAAATGCTTCCTGCATTATGATTCTAAGACGAGGTAACGAAAGAATAAAGAACAAAGAGAAGAATAATAGTCTCTAAGAGAAAGACGGTCATTTTAGTATTTCTTAGCGCAGCATAAGTCCTTCTTAGGAGGCTTCGCCATTCTCTGCCCCTTCTGGAAGGTCTTCCCTCTATTGCCCGGTCTTTAGCTTCCCTGGCGCCATATTGTGGTCTGCATGGAGACCTACATAGAGTCGCCCAACGGTCTGGGCTCGAGATGCTTAAGGTTGGTCGCGCAATACTCGGAACGGGGTAAGAGTAGCTGGTAGCTACCATGGAGAACGAACAGAAGGGGTGAGTAGTAGTGACTCCTCTTTCTATCTCGTATATACATATACTGTACTCTAGAATAGTCTATATATATATATATATATATATATATAGACAGAGAGCGTGTCTCGGCTACAGGCTACAGGGGATAACACCAGTTTATGTCCCTGGGAGATACTGTACTCTAGAATAGTCAACGGGGTAAGAGTAGCTGGTAGCTACCATGGAGAACGAACAGAAGGGGTGAGTAGTAGTGACTCCTCTTTCTATCTCGTATATACATATACTGTACTCTAGAATAGTCTATATATATATATATATATATATATATAGACAGAGAGCGTGTCTCGGCTACAGGCTACAGGGGATAACACCAGTTTATGTCCCTGGGAGGTCGTAAAGATAGGAGAGATGCTCCTCTACCTCTACTTCCAGCGTCACCGTCAGTTCTACCTCCGTCTCCGACTTCCTCTTTTCTTTCCCTCTCCTTTCTCCAGTCTCGCTATTGGCGAAAGTAGCCAGAGCCAAACTTGCACTCCCCCAACTTGTATTGCACGGGAGGCTACGACACTCTATCGCTATAGATATACTGTACACCGTGTAAAAAACCGAAGAGCCTCCTCTGACTAACTCTTTCGAGAGGCACGTTCCGCGGCCTCCTTCAGGATGAAGATCGATTCTTCTTTTGGTCCATAGCCGCGTGCTGTATCGACCTTAAGAGTCGAGGGTGTCACTTGCGGCTTCTCTTTATCTCTCTCGGTACTTTGAGTCCCTTATTACAGTCTATACCACGGAGTTATGCATATACATATTTGTGTGCATAGGTGATATATGTCAGTTGTTGGTTCATTTTATAATATTGGTATGTTACATAAGCGATATCGAAGTTACGTGTGAATATTATCGAGGGAAACGTGTAATCCGTCGAGCGGAGATTCAGATGCGTATAAAGACGCTTGTTTCTCCAGTGGGAAAATATTTCTAGGTTACGTCTCGCGCAGACAATATCCTTTTGGAGTTTTCCGGAGATCTCAGTGAGTGGGAAACCTGCCGACGGCTATCCTGTAGCTACTTCGTGCTCTCCTAGGAGCCTCAGACAACTTGGATGTCTTCGACGTCTCACTGGCTCTGTATATAAGGTGGTGGGCATTGCTTCGAGGCATTTTGCGAGATAGTGCCGTCTTTCTCTCTCACGTTCGGATCGCCCAGCTTTTCTAAGCGGTGTCGCGGTTTGTGTTTTCACGTATATCGTTTTCAATTCCAATAGTCGTGAAAAAAAGGAAAGACGCATTTACTCGGATGCGACGAGACTGTTGGACTTTATAACGAGTGTTTGTGTATATGAGGTACTCTGTACGTGTGTGGTTGGGGTGTTGGGCGGGTTTGGAAGGACGAGGTTGGAGGAAGTTGATGGCGGGTACAAAAGAATTCGGATATTGGCAGTAGGTGGATGGTGCTTTATCGGATAGGAAATAGCAGAAGTCGAGTATTGTGACTGGTCGAGATTACAGCCATTGTTTCCACACTTGCTCCGGCTGAATGGCTTCGGCTGGGGAATGGAGACTCGTTCCGTCCATTCATTCGCTTGCTGCACCAAACTTCCTGGTATTAATCCAGCTGGAGTCGCACGTCTCTGCAATGTGTTTTAAATATATTTCTTTTTGTATCGTCTATAGATATTTTTAGATCGGGAATCAGTCGGTGCATCGGGAGATTATTTCAAATTTTGTTGGGAAAAATTTTACATTTTCAATTTTTTTTTTTTTTTTCCCTTTTTTTTTTTTTTTTGTAGGACTTCGATGGGAAGCATTGCGTTCGAATTGCATGAAGGATCTGGAACGCGTTTACGACGCCAGGTGGCAGGAGCATCGGCTAGAACGTGGCTGGAACAAAATGAACCTTTAAATCACTCACTACGATTTATTATCGTTATTACGCGTCAGTGCAAAAAATATTTACCGTATTCCCAGAGGATGCTCGGAGAGGATCCGTCCAGGGAAGTGAATGCCTCTCTGTCTCTCTTTCGTTCTATATATTTTTTTTCTCTTCTCACTCCACTGTCGATCCTCTTTTTTTTCCTTTTGCTCTCCAGCCTCCCTGTAGCCGGGACTCACTCGTCCCAGCTGATATTATCCTTCTGTCATTAACCAGAACGTGTGTCGAGAGGCGGTGACGAGGATTATATGAGAGAGAAATCCGCGAGCTGATCCAATAGCCCGGGGATGCTGGGATGCGGAGATGCAGCTGTCGTCTAATTGCATCTCATATAGCGAGACTGCAGGCCATGCTGCAAGTATTCGTACATAGCACGGTTCTCTGCTCCTTCCCATCCGGACTCTCATCTTCGCGAAGTATTTCAGAAGCGCCAAAGATACTTCGTTGGGCCACTTCAAGGAATAATTTATCTTGCCACTCGGGAGGAATTCAAATCAATTGAATTTCTGATCGATCCTGGTCGTCCGCACTCCACTTCACGGCGCTTCGACGTACGTCCGTATGCATAGCAATGACTAACTACCAATGAAGTTACGGCCATTAATAATTACTTATTGCTTGACAAAGCGGCTAGGACCAAAGGTACTAGGATCGATACTAATAAGACTAATGATATCGTGTTTTATCGAAGCTCTTTTATTGTGATTATCAAAAATTCTAGGTGCCTCATAGGAAGCCAAGCAGAACTTTTTCCATCAACCTGACAATACGTATTCGGTTTACCTGTTGAGTTACCGATAATCGATTTGGCGTCATAGATGATGTACTTACGTATCCAGAATTGGCCTAGGTATATCTAGATATAATATTGAACGAGTGACGAAGTAACATGGGCGCTCAGAAAGCAATAAAATAAATCATGCTTCTTGTCGCGCGAGTGGTTGCTGCAGTATCCGAGTCCCAGGTCGGTCCTCCTTCTTGAAGTGAGCAAAGCGAGCCCTCCCACGGGAAATCAGAGAAAGATGCACTGCGTCGAGGAGGAGGTGGAAGAGGATTCCAAGGAAGAGACTGAAGGAACCGGCAACGAGGGTCCAAGGATTTTTCCTCACCCACGGCAGAAGTTCTCGGATCTCCTCCCTCAAAGGGCTACCCGCTCCTTCACCTTTTTCGACTTTTCCTCTCTGGCGGCGCGTTGGACGAAATCAGGTCTCGAGGTCTCAGATCCCAGTAGAGGGGTGGCTGGATAAAAAGGACAAAGTAAAGTCCTACTCGTGGGATTGAGAATTGTCGCTTCTCGACGACCGCGCAACAAACAAGCCTCAAACAGGCCAGGATAATGGCGCTCCGGCCAAATTCAAAACATTCCTATGGAGATCTTATGGCATTACTCTCGAGCATTTACAAGATAATCCGTCGTGATGAAGCGATTCAAGACGTCCCGTCTCCTCTCAGCATCCCCACTGGATTCTCCACGTTGCATATTTCGGTTATAGGACACCGTATATATCAAAGGACCCAGTTTCGGAGCTCGTACTACAATCTGGTTATGCGATTTTCTGTCTTACCAAAATATTTTTTTATTTTGACAATATTTTCCGAAATTTATTTTTCGTCTCGTGCACTTCCATTCTATTCTTCCGAACGAGGGAGGGATCGTGGAAGAAAGTGAAAAGTGTATCAGGCAAATCGACTAGGTAATATCTTACTGGTAGTTTTTTTTTTTTTTTTTTTTCGGGAAAATTATAAAATTTCTAAAAATACATATCACGAATTAATCGCGCGAAACTGACCTCATCCACGCGACATTCTTCATTAGCCATGATTCCGTATGATATAACCTTGTGAAAGTGTCGTGACGTGTGATATGACAGATATAAAGAGACACGGTAGCACGTATCACGCGAGTGGCATTGAATAGAGTAATCACTCGAGTTTTGTCAGCCAATTAAGAGTCATCGTTGCGTAGAAACGCGGCAAAGATATCGCCAGGCAGCTGTCACCCGCTAGAGGCGTCGGTATCACGGCAGACGACCCGCTTGCAATTATTGGAAAACTCTCTGTTGGATGAATAATTGGTAATGCGTAATTAGCAGGTATAATTTATAATACGTCACTCTTGTGTCAGACTAGCTAGACACAGAGAGGTATGTGCATATCTGTTAAATTGAGAACGAAATAGCCAGATTCAATGGTACACGCGGTTTACACAGAGCGATAAGAATAAACAAAATAATAATGGGGTTAGTTTTGGAAATAATTCGGAAGGTGCAATAATTCATAGCTAAACCATTCCTCTGTTTCAGGTAGCAACCGTCTAATGGAGTGGTCCGTTTTCGGGTGGGAATCTTATGAAAAATTTGGTGAGTAGCCAGAAAAGGAACTAGGACAGCTTAGCAGCGTTAGTATCGTGGTAGATATTCCGCAGGATGTTTCTGTGGTCCAGGAAGCTAATTTAGCCGGCGTTTAACCTCCATATTTAGCCATTACTCTGTCCCGCTCCACGTTGGTTAATCTACGTCCTAGCTCGACATAGCAGCAGCCCGTTGAGGCTCTGCCCGGTGTTGCTTGTCTCTGCTAAGCAAACTGGCAGGCAAGTACATAGGTTAGGAAGGCAGGTAGCTTCGCCCGTAGCGTCTAGTAATTAAGTTGAGTCACTGGGAACCTAGCTCCATTGTGCCAGGCAAATGGGCTGTTTAGTCCGGATACATGACTTCGTCTCTTGTTATTGTGCATGTACGGTATGCATCGGTGCAATCGATCAAGACCTCTAATCATGCGCCCACAGACTGTACCCATGTAGACCATAGACCATTTCTTGACTGTACGTCTTTCGCCTAACCTAAAATTTTAACAACGTCATTTCCTCATGACTTACCGTGATATCTTGACAATAATTTTTCAAACGAAGAAATACCATAGATTTTTATTAACACCAGAGTAGGTTAGTCAAGATGACCAGGGAATGACTGAAGATCCCGCAGGACCTCGGGGCGGGGTCTGAGGTTTCAGTTGGGTCCGAATGCGAGGTCCTTGGAGGACGTTAATTGTCCTTCGCGCACGTGTAGCCAATGGTCGCACGGGGCGCATCAATCATTCGGCGTCACAAAGGCTCGTTTGTAAATGCGTGTTTACGTCGCTGACGATAGCAGGAGGCATCCGAGCGACTCGTGTAATCCTTGCCCGGGGCAAACGCCTGAGTAATTGGAAAGGGGTGGTTCTGTCAGTGAGGGATGAGTTGTGACCTTCGCATTCGTACCTTATGACCATTTGCGTCTCTTGATTTCGCGGGGCTTTCTCAATTTTTCACATGAAAACGTAACACCTTGAATTAAGGGTACGTGCAGTGATATAGTCATAGTGGTAACGGTGATGGTACAGTAACGGTGTAAGAGGGGGGTGTTGGGAGGGAGACCTTAGGGGTGGCACGAAAAGAGGAAATGGTGAAAGGGGAGGGTAAGTTAGCACGGACCTGACCTGAGAAGACCTTGAGACAGGGTGGCGAGGGGTTGCCAAGCGGGTGGGTAAGGGGGGGAGG